TATGGCATAAAAATGTCAAAAAACGTCATAGTATAGTATGGCATAAAATGTCAAAAAAACATCATAGTATATTAAGGCATAAAAGGTCATAAAAACGTTATATTATGATAAGGAATAATACAACATAGTATAGTAAGGCATAGAAATGCTTAAAAATGTCATAGTATATAGTATGGCATAAAAATGCCAAAAAACATCATAGTATAGTATGGCATAAAATGTCATAAAAAATTACATTGTATTAAGGCATGAAAGGTCATGAAAAAGTCATAGTATGGTAAGGTATCAAATGAAATGGTATTTTAAGGCATAAAAATGCCAAAAAACGTCATAGTATATTAAAGCATGAAAGGTCATAAAAACGTTATATTATGGTAAGGAATAATACGACATAGTATAGTAAGGCATAAAAATGCCAAAGAACGTCATAGTATAGTATGGCATAAAAATGTCAAAAAACGTCATAGTATATTATGGCATAAAATGTCAAAAAGAATTACAGTGTATTAAGGCATAAAAGGTCATAAAAACGTTATATTATGATAAGGAATAATACAACATAGTATAGTAAGGCATAGAAATGCTTAAAAATGTCATAGTATATAGTATGGCATAAAAATGCCAAAAAACATCATAGTATAGTATGGCATAAAATGTCAAAAAAACATCATAGCATATTAAAGCATAAAAGGTCATAAAAACGTTATATTATGATAAGGAATAATACGACATAGTATAGTAAGGCATAAAAATGCCAAAAAACGTCATAGTATAGTATGGCATAAAAATGTCAAAAAACGTCATAGTATAGTATGGCATAAAATGTCAAAAAAACATCATAGCATATTAAAGCATAAAAGGTCATAAAAACGTGATATTATGATAAGGAATAATACGACATAGTATAGTAAGGCATAAAAATGCCAAAAAAAAGTCATAGTATAATATGGCATAAAATGTCAAAAAAAATTCAGTGTATTAAGGCATAAAAGGTCATAAAAAAAGTCATAGTATGGTAAGGTATCAAATGAAATAGTATTTTAAGGCATAAAAATGCCAAAAAACCTCAAATTATAATATGACATAAAAATGCCAAAAAACATCATAGTATAGTATGGCATAAAATGTCAAAAAAAAATTACAATGTATTGAGGCATAAAAGGTCATGAAAAAGTCATAGTATGGTAAGGTAACAAATGAAATAGTATTTTAAGGCATAACAATGCCAAAAACTGTCATATTATAATATGGCATAAAAATGCCCAAAAACGTCATAGTATAGTATGGCATAAAAAGTCAAAAAAACATCATAGTATATTAAGGCATAAAAGGTCATAAAAACGTTATATTATGATAAGGAATAATACGACATAGTATAGCAAGGCATAAAAATGCCAAAAAACATCATAGTATAGTATGGCATAAAAATGTCAAAAAATGTCATGGTATAGTATGGCATAAAATGTCAAAAAAAAATTACAGTGTATTAAGGCATGAAAGGTCATAAAAAAGTCATAGTATGGTATGGCATAAAAAGTTAAAAAAAATTCATAGTAAAGTATGACATAAAAAGTGGAAAAACGTCATAGTATAGTAAGGCATAAAAATGTGAAAAAACGTCATAGTATAGTAAGGCATAAAAATGTGAAAAAACGTCATAGTATAGTAAGGCATAAAAATGTGAAAAAACGTCATAGTATAGTAAGGCATAAAAAGTCGAAAAATTGACATAGTATAGTATGGCATAAAAGTCATAAAGAGTCATAGTATAGTAAGGCATAAAATTGTCATAGTATACTAAGGCATAACAACGTCATAGTATAGTATGGCATAAAAAGTCGAAAAAACGTCCTAGTATAGTATGGCATAAAAAGTCACAAAAATATCATAGTATACTAAGGTGTAAAAAGTCGAAAAAACATCACAGTAAAGTATGACATAAAAAGTGGAAAAACGTCATAGTATAGTAAGGCATAAAAAGTGGAAAAAACGACATAGTATAGTAAGACATAAAAAGTCAAAAGAATGTCATAATAAAGTAAGGCATAAAAAGTCATAAAAAAGTCATAATATAGTAAGGCATAAAAATGTCATAGTATAGTAAGAGATAAAAATGTCATAGTATAGTAAGGCATAAAATGTCCAAAAAACGTCATAGTATAGTATGGCATAAAAATTCATGAAAACGTCATAGTATAGTATGGTGTAAAAATGGCATAGTATGGTAAGGCATAATAAGTTGAAAAAACATCATAGTATAATAAGGCATAAAAATGTCATAGTATTGTAAGGCATAAAAAGTCATAAAAAAGTCATAGTATAATAAGGCATAAAAATGTTATAGTATAGTTAGGGATAAAAATGTCATAGTAGGCCTATAGTAAGGCATAAAAAGTAAAAAAAATGTTACAGTATAGTAAGGCATAATAAGTTGAAAAAACGTCATAGTATAGTATGGCATATAAATTCATAAAAACATCATAGTATAGTATGGCATAAAATTTCATAAAAAATTACATTGTATTAAGGCATGAAAGGTCATGAAAAAGTCATACTATGGTAGGGTATCAAATGAAACGGTATTTCAAGGCATAATAATGCCAAAAACTGTCATAGTATAGTATGGCATAAAAATGTCAAAAAACGTCATAGTATAGTATGGCATAAAATGTCAAAAAACGTCATAGTATATTATGGCATAAAATGTCAAAAAAAAATTACAGTGTATTAAGGCATAAAAGGTCATAAAAAAGTCATAGTATGGTAAGGTATCAAATGAAATAGTATAGTAAGGCATAAAAATGTGTTGTATAATAAGGCATAAAAAGTCACAAAAATGTCATAGTAAAGCATGGCATAAAAGTCAAAAAAAGTCATGGCATATCAAGGCATAAAAAGTCAAAAAAATGTCATAGTATTGTAAGGCATATATACATCATAGTATAGTATGGAATAATAAGTCATAAAAAAGTATAGTAAGTCATAAAAACGTCATAGTATAGTAAGGCATAAAAAGTCAAAATGTCATAAAAAACGTCATCGTATAGTAAGGCATAAAAAAAGCCATAGTATTCATGGAAAGAAAATAGAAATCGGAAAGAAGAAAAATAAGAAGATAAAATGTTCAAGAAGCTTTGGCACTTTGTCAGGACTTTTGGGGCAGGGGTGGGTGGGGTAGTCATGAGAACTGGAGTGGCGAGGAGAGCTAACTGTCGGCTGGTGCATCCGTCAGCATGTCAACTATAGGTAGGATTCTGGATACCTGCAGATGCAGCAACTTCACAAACTTTATCTAGTGAATAAAAACTAGATCTTGATTTTGCAAATAGTAGGCTAATAGCTATAAGCAGTAAGCAACAATCACCCTCATTAGTGATAACGGACAAGTAATTATAATACAGCCTAATAAATCTCAACAGGGCTGCTGGATGCTGTGCGGTCCAGCCACACCAGTCTCTGAGAACCTGTGCATCACCTCCAGGCAGAACAACTGTAAAATGCAAACACTAACATACAATAAACAAAAAAATAACAATGCAATAAATCTCAGAGGAAACTGCTTCTGCTTGAGCAGAACTGCTTGACAGACCAAACAATGTAATTATATATGAGTCAATTTGCACTAGTGTACCATCCTCATAATCATTGCTTTCACCTTCAGCACACACCTATAGCACTCACCCACTGTGTTTCCTTCTACGTCATCCAGCCTTGTCTTTATTTCAAGCACTTTCTGCCCCTTTCCTCTGTGCTGCAGTCGCCATTCAATGCCCACTTCCTGCGATAAGGGAATTTCATGCTGCCTGAAACCACAGTTGAGGAGGACATCACCTCTCAGAGGTGCAGATACAGACTTTATGTGGGAAAATACCACAAATATCACTGGGGACAGAAAGCAAAGATAACAGGAGATACAAAGTTATAAGAAGGATGTTATTCCCTGTCTAACAAAACAAAGAATGGAAAAGATTCAATGAAAAGATTGAGGTGTGATATTAAACACTGCATCTCACCCTCAGTCAGCAGAGTACCCGATTGGCTAAGAGGCAGGCCCAGTTTGTTTTGTATCAACGTCGAGTGGTCTTTTTCCACCATCAAAGTCTGCAGAATCAGTGCAGTGTTGAACTCAACTCCCTCCACACTAAGGGATGCCATGAAATAGGCTGGATCCGAACTTTCCTGGGATCCACGAGGAGAGTAACGGCTTATTTCACACGTCACCTCCTGTTCATTGCAGTCTGCATGGAGCAACACGGCTGCATTGGGGATCTCAACTGATGACACTGCCACAGAGAAATGAGAGGAGAAGTTCAGCACCGGTTTTGAGTACATTAGACCAAACTTTACATGTAGTGAAGACAGGAAAAACCTTTGGCCTCAAACAGGAGGAGGTCTGGATCCGGGACTGAGGGTGGAACAAACGCAGTGAGCGTTTCAAGGGATTCTTCAGGAGCCACTGCAACGTCTCTGAAGACAACAGTAGCTGGAGTACGTGTGAAGGCAGCACCACCTCCCATTCCACCCAGTCCAACTCCCTCCTCCACCAGGGTGCAGGACAGTACCACATCTGCAGCCCCATCAGCTGAGAAACAATGGGCAGATAGAAAAAGACTTAAGACTGCTTAAGACTTCCTAAAAAGGTTAACTTATCATCTTCATGAATAAATGCTCATACCAGTAGACTAGTATTATGAGAAATAAGTATAAATGTTGATTTACAAGTCTATTATTTCCTAATAATGTCTTGAACATTCAGTGAAAAACAAAACTAGTTAATTTGGTACAAATTAGAAGGAAAAGCCACTAGGGGTCTTGGAATCAAAACAACAGCAAAAGAAGTTGTTAAGTATCATGGGGATCATGGGAGTTGTCTTCACCACCATTGCTGTCACTGCAATAAGTTTGTCCCCGTTAGGACTCTTTCAGTGTCAATCATACAGGACATTTTCACCAGTAGCCGAATAATCCACAGAGGTGTCCTCCTCTCCAAAACAAATGAACCACGTTATTAAAACTGGTAAAAACACAGAATAAAGCAGTTCCATGTTAACAATCAGTGTTTCTATGACACTGTCCAGGAGACACTGTTTTTCTTGGAGGGGATGGGAGCCAAGCTGCCTCTTAAATTTGCTCAGCTTGTTTCTCTAATAACTTAAGATCCAGGATCCAGAAATCCGATTACTAAAATCCTTCATCCGATTAAAATCTACCAAGGTCTAAAAATGTGTTAAAGTTGGATAAAAAGTAATTTTTGATTGGCAGACAACCACAATACTGACACATGCGTAAAGGGGATATGATGCCATTGATCAGTGACCAAATGAAATTCACCGTTACCTTGACTAAAATTATAAATTTCTCCAGATTTGAAAATTACTGGAAACATTAGTCATAATGTAAGTACACAACTCAACCAAATATATGGGTCTAGTCGTTTTCAGACATTTTAATGCTGACAAGATACACAGTATACCTTTAATAATTCAATTATTGTAAAACATTTAAATTCTATACTTTCAACTAAATTCATATTTTTGCATTTTTGCATGTCTAGCTGCCCTGTTAAAAGACTGTGGGTTACACTGTATTAGTTGTTCATGTGAAACAGGTGTATCAAATGGACAGTTTCTATTTTACCTGTAATTACTGCCAGTTACATTGTTATTTCCTGGAAACTTCCTAGAAATTAACACAGTTTAATGCGTTACCAGATTAAGTTACCATCACCATTTTAAATGGAAGGTTTATTACTGAGCTTGACAATCAAATAAAGGTTAATTTACTGGCACTATACTGCGTCCAGCATCAATATGCCAACATTAATACTCTTACCACATACGCACGTCATGAAGTATCCAAACAAAATGACTTCAATCATCATCATGGAGTCTGGATTCCGCGTTTTTTTTAAATAATAATTTTAAGGTTATTACACACATAAAGTGAGATAGCAGCTGCTGAAAACAAAAAAAAGCACCACCGCACTTTCGCTTTTGATTTCAACGACTACAGCAACTCATTGCGTCGCTACAGTCTGATTTTTTTTTACAGCCTTTATCGCACCAAATGAATAATGTACGATAAATGTACAGCAATAAATATAATCTCATCTAACAGTAAACTCTTGAGGTGGTGGGCTACGGCGGCTGTTTCTCGGTAACATGCGCGGAGGGCAGGAGTGCAAGAGTGAAAATGAAAGTGAGTGGACGGGATCCGGGATCGTCCAATCACAGAGCAGCAGAGAAGGTCATGGGTCATTATGGACGCACTGAAATCACCTGTTTCATTTTGAGACCCATTTACAACTTTTTTTGTTCTTTTTAAATTACAAAAGATTTACTCGTATTCAGTCAGAACTTGGTATTCAGTCGGTGCAAAATACAGTTGCTGAGGTGAATGGTGTATGTGGTGGTATGTCATTAAATGTTGATAAAATTTTGTAAGAATCTAAACATCTAAAGTGCTTAAAACTTTTGCACAGTGGGCTACTATAAAAGTTTGTTTTATCTACAATTTTAAACTTGACATTAGTTGCGCCTTGAGTAAAATATGTTGGCTGAATAAATAGTATGACAGACTATTTAGTCCATGCATGAAGTATAATTCCTCTTCAGTTGCTCATGTTGTATAATGAAAAATGCTATTTTTGGGGGCATTGCCTGATTTCATTGTGCTACTTGTGACAGTGCGCACACACACACACACACACACACACACACACACTCTTGTTTATAAAGGTGGTGGGGAGAGAGGGAGGTGAGGGGGTTGGTTCAATATATGGTTGGAACAACAGCTTAACCCCAACAAAACAACTGAGGAACAGTGCCGGGTCTTTGTAAATAATGTGGCAGCCTAATAATTGTAGACTAGTAAAACATCTCAGTGATGTATGATATAGTAGACTGTTGACAAATTAAAGAAAAAAAAAGATGAAGTGTAGTAAGGTAAGTAAGGTGTTGAGCCAAAATAGCTTCAGTGGTTGTTAAACTGGTTTGAGATCTGGTGACTGTGAAGGCCACAGCATATGTTTCACATAATTTTCATCCTCATCAAACAATTCAGGTCACCAGGGGTGGTGACCTGTGGATGGAGACACTGCCATCCTGTTTTTCCACTCATTCTTCAGGTTTTTATTTGTTACCATCTGAATTTCCCTAGGGGATAAATAAAGTATCTATCTATCTATCTATCTATCTATCTATCTATCTATTCAGGGATACACTGTCACTGTTACTTCTGTTCATTTTTTATCGACATACAGTATGTAGTATATGTACTATGCATATATGTGAATTATATATGGCTGTAAACCATAAGAACAAGGTGTTTAATGATGGTTCTGAGCTGTATGTATGATGCACATGTGATCAGCTGATGCAGCTGTCATTGTCCTCTCAGACTGAGGCTGCAGACTGGTCCAGCAGCAGCAGCAGTTCTCACTGTGTGGATTATATATTCTCATTAGATATTTAGCAGTGCTGGACATCCTGAGCTAAATGATCCACACCAGCATCAGCCAACACATCTGATTACAGCGCTAATTCAAATGTCCACTGCTTTTATACAAACTTCACTTGAGTGTGTGTAAATCATATAGATAATAGCTCGGAGCAGAAAAGTTCTCATAACAAGATGGCTGATGTATTTTGGGTACAATTCATACGAGCTGATTGTCAACTGAATTCTGTCATTAACATTAAACATGTTAATGTTGAGTTTTGATTGTTTTGACAGTTGAACCTTGAAAGTGTAACCAGTACAAGTAATCCACATTATCAATAAGTGTTGCAATGTTATTGCCCTCATACATGTCACAAGTCATAGAATGCAAAAAGGAATCCTCAATTATAATAAAGCTTTCAAACAAAGTGCAGATTGTGGAATGATTCTTTAATTTAGAAATATTTTCAAAGACACAATGATATATAATATAATATTCTATGGGCCAACTATTAGCTCTGTGTATATGGTTGTTTATATGCGTAGTCTAGGTCAAGCTATATCATGGGTGGTGGTGTAGAGTAATGGGACAGGTGGAGTCTATATGTGGCACGGATCCAACAGACCAGCTAAGAATGAATGAATGAGTGACAAGGAGATCTCAATTTTTACCGCTGTCAAGCTGGGCACACAAAACACACAGCTGGGTGGTTAATTTCTAGTCAGGATAGTTGCTACAAATATGATTATATAAAATGACTGTAAAGAGACTATGCTGGACCATAGAGCCTCTCACTGGTGTGCACATTAAACACATGGATTCAAGAGCCATTTAACCATTTCTTTTGTTCAGGAAATTCAGCAAGGAACTGATGGTTGGATTTGGATGAATGCATGATTTCTTCTGTACAACAAACAAAAGTAAAAACCTTGCCATGCACACCACAAAAATAATAAAGGGTAACTAAAACAATTTTCTTTACTAACAATTTTCATAAGATTAATTTAAGGTAAACATAATTTGAAAGAATTAACAATAAATGATATCAAACAAACATTAGTTTCCAGCAACTTACTGGTGTGACAGCATGGTCTCTAAAAAAGGGATCTCGGATGTACACACCCAGTGCTTTTGTAAACTCCCCTTTGCAATCTCTGCCCCTGTCCTCCTGTCCTCTGACAGGTGAATCTCCATCCACCCAGTCTGACATGTCGGCTTGAGATTTTTTAACAATAATAGAGTACAACACAATTTAATAGAACATATATATACACTTTTACGGTTGTCGCAGCCAGCTGTTTTCAGAGAAAAACAGCTGTAAAAAGCCACTGTCCACTACCTCCTCACCAGCAAACAGCAGGCAGACACAGTCAGAGAGCAGCTGGTGAACATAATGGAGCATTTAGGAGTTGAAGAGTTAAATTTAGCAGTTTCCCCCAGGATCTTTTGGAGACCAAACACAGAGACAAAAGAGAGGGGACACTGGACTGAGATCATCAAAATGTGGACTGCACTTTATAATTGAACCTCCCACATTTAGAGCTAATGAGTGCAAATGATGAACAGTAGAAAACTCTGGAAGTACAGACTTGCAAATGTCTTGTTCTAAAAAAAGCCAAAGGCCCCTGTTCAGCAGTCAGGCTACTTAAGTTATATAGCTGAAATTACTTTGAGAAAAAGCGTTATTTCACTAACCCCATATACAGTAGCTGTGTACCTCCTAACAGGTGTCATCCATATTTTAATTTGGACATAAGGTTTAAGATATAAAAGACTCATTTTGGTGTGAGAAATTACACAAATATTTTATGGTCTCACAGCATCAGAGCCCTATTCATTGTTATAGAGCATACTGGAATGACATTGCACATTTTAAGGCTCTCCCTTTGGTTTCTAACTTTAGAGGAGAGTGCTGCATGTTCACAAATATTTACCAATCTGTTCTGGCGCACAGGAATAAGAAATGTGAATTCTTAAAAAGGGTTGGATTCTCCTTTAAATTCACAATCCATGATTATGATATAGTGTTCCATCCTCAAAGCATCTGGTGCAGAAAAATAACAGGCTAAAGTTATACATATTAAAGTCAAGCCTATTGGTGATCTTATTCAAATCATGTAAACTTAAAAATGAAAAAGGTCATTTTCCACACATATATGTTCTAGGATTACACTGGACTTGAAATGAAATGAGCAAAGCAGGAGAAGCAGCCAGCAGGTTCCATTTCAAAGTATTTAATCTTTTGCTTTCAGTCAGTCAGGTGTGAGTAGTTACAGCTGAGTGGTTATAATAAGAGAAAGTGCACATATATCAAATGTCAAATATAAACAACAACAATAAATGATTCAAAACCAAAAATCAGTACATCAGTACATTCTCACTTTAAACATATAATCATGTGAGAACAAACCATGGAGATTAGATGTACTTCTTAACAACAAAATAAACATGACTTGAGAAAATGTAATAAAATAAACTCACTCAACGTACACAGGAACAAAGGTGAGATGATAGAGGGAAGCAGCTGAAGTGAAGGGCAAACAGAGAATGAACTCAGGACACAGAACAAAGAACACTCAAGGCACCTGTATCACCTGCCCAGTTAACACACCTGTTCTCCTGCTGCTCTTCAGCCCAGCAGTCATGTGACCCCACTTCCAACCCAAAGTAACACATTAAGTAACCTTAATCAAATTAATAAGTTGATGAATAGCTACATACATGAATCGCATGAATCGCAAAACCTATAATAATTCCAGTGTTCATTGGAAATTTATTCCAGATCAGTTGTGGTTTTATGAAGTTATGAATTATGTCCATTATTTTGACAGTTTGTTTATTTATTTAGCTTAGCTCTCCTTAAATTGACCACTGCAGCCAGCACGTTTGTTCAAAACTAGCATCCTTTACTTTGAAGACGAGCTGTCTCTGCTTCTGGCATCTGTCGTAGTGTGAGGTGTTACAGTGACATTAATACCAGTTAGGTGGGAAGGGGTTAAAGTGGATACTGCTCTTAATTGTCATTTTCACTTTTACAATAGGAAAGATCTTTGACTAATCTGAAATACATAAATACATACATACAGAAAAGACACATGTAGATCTGCATTATATCACTTTATTCACACTTGAAGAAAAGATGCTTTTGAAAATACAATGCAATGACTAGTGAAGAATGTGTATGGCATTCATTCAATAACTTTAGAAAGTTCTGAAATGGTTCTAATCATCATAAGCAGGAATTTGTACTTAATCGTTTTATCATCAACTGGAAGATTATCTTAATTCACAACTTTTCTTGTGACACAATATCTATTAATTCTGCAGACAAGAGTATAATTAAATAGCAAAATTAGTTCTCTTTCTTCTTATTTTATTAGAAATGTCATCATCTTCACATCAGGTTGTAATGAATTACTGTAAATTTCAGTTCTCTTCCATGGTCTTCTTGATCCAGTCCACGTAGTTGGTGACTTTGGTATAGATTCCATATGTTCCCTTCTTGCCGCAGTCAACGCCCCAGCTCACAATCCCTGCAGCCCAGAACCGTCCATTGTCATATAGGGCATAGGGGCCTCCACTGTCACCTTGGCAGGAGTCCTTCCCACCTTCAGGGACTCCAGCACAAAACATGTTATTTGTCAGGTTTGGTACGCCAGGCCTTGTCCTCCTAAACGCAGTGATGGAAGTACTGCATATCCCCTGCTCCACCACAGGGACCTGCAAGTACTTCAGCTTATTTGTTAAAACCCGTCGTTTGTCTGCCGTCTCTGTAACGCCAAAGCCTGACACCAATCTGAAAAAGATATAGAGGACACAGTTATGATGAACAAAAGAAAAAAGCAAATAAGAGTTCCCTTCACATGTCAGCACAACAAGGGAAAAAGGCAAATAGAAGAGTGAAGAAAAGTCAAATGACTCACAAAACCGAAAGCAGAGACAATAAGTAATATTATATAAAATGGATTGTGCAGTATTGTGAATTGTTTTAATTACCCAATGGTGCCAGTGAGGTATGTGTCTTCCTCTGCTGGCAAACATAAGGGCATTACGGATGAAGTGAATGTGATCGGGTCTTCCAGTTTGATCAATGCAATGTCATTGTTGTAGTTTACATTGTTGATGTTGTTGTAACCAGGGTGAACATGGACTGAGGCAGCATTAATAGGCAAGACGTTTAAGGTTTGAATTTCATTAAGTCCCATGTAAATCTGCAAATCAAAAGCACAGGAGGAAATTAATGCCAGTGCAAAAACATGTAGGCAATGGATAATGCAGGTAACAACGACAGTGGCTTTACTTACCCGTACAACGTCCTTTGATGCTGGTGTTCCATTATTATTTGCTACGACATGAGCTGCAGTCATAATCCAGTGGTCTGCAATCACCATGCCTCCTCCTCTGCCTCCATCTACACTCAGTAGCACTTGCCAAGGGATGGTATTCACTGGAGCATCATTGCCTCCAATGATCCTCTCATAGGAAGAGATGAGTGCTGTTGGCTTGCCACAAACTAAATGTGATACAGACGAATACATACATATGAAGTTGTACACAAGTACAAACTTTATTTTCCAATTATAATTTATAAAAAAATCTACATTAAGTTTTGGGTAGGGTATTATTTTTCTAAAGAAAAGCAATACCTGGTAGGCACATTGGACTGATAACAGCATCATGGTTGGATCTCCACTTTCTGTCTGCTTCACAGGTGAAGCTAACTGAAGGGCAGTAGGAACAAAAGGAAAATATAGTTGGGTGTTAATCTTCCCCTTAGGAGCAACTTAAAACCAGCTATCAATCTTAAATACTGACTGTCTCCATGGTGTGTTAGTACACCGTGACATCACTGTTGGATGTGGTTACAGTTGCAACAGAGCAAACTTCTGGCCACACCCATCAGTGATGCTGGGATGGTAGTTAAACTGTTTTTTCAGCTTGGTGTTTACTCTTCAGGGACTGGTATTTTTGCATATTTTATCCCACAAATCATTTATATGTTAAACCACAACTAAACATTTCATGCTTTTAAAAACGAGTATATGTAAACACTTTTCAAATATATTTTGTGTTCAGTGTATTTCCGGGCTTCCATTTTTTTCATATATGTTTTTATACTATTGAAAATCTGGTGCTTTGGTCTAGAAATGCAGTAGAGAAATCAAGCTGCACTTAAACTGATACACCACACAATGATACCGTAACACTGATAAAAATCAATGCAGGTCACAAACAACTCATACAAGATTGAACTAACCAAACCAAAGGCTGGTAGGAAAAATCTAAAACTGTACATTTAAAGACACGAAATGTGAATATCTCACCATTTACGCCCCCAAGGAGAGAGTAAAATGGTTCATTACAGTGATACTGAACAGCAGAACGGTACTGATTCTGAAAGCCAGACAGGAAGGTCACCCCTCCATTCAGCAAAGATTCAGGTTCTCCACAATCAATTACTACAGGAAAACAAAACAAAGACATGTCAACGTTTTTCTGGTGAGACACATCACACATCATCAGAAGGAATTATATTGTGGTTAAATCACAACGAAGTTTCCATTCATTTTCCAATGGGTGTTTTTCCTGAGCTTAAAGATGACATACTGTGGCATTCTGGCAGAGGGAGGTGCCACTGTCCGTTGCTTTGGCACATGGTAGAGAAGCTCTCAATCTCCTGACCATCCTGAAAGAGAAAAGAGGGGAATTATAAAATGGCAATATCACACAATGACAAATAAACAAGAGCTTTTCATAATTGTTCATTGTGATAAAAAGAGGAAAGGTTTCATCTAACCGTCATCAGCTTGTATCCTTGGTCACATCGCACAAAGATGTAGTCTCTGTAGAAATATTCGGTCAAGATCGGTGTGACTCTGCCTTTAACTACTTTAGCAGGGATTGGGCACTGCACTCCTGGAGACATCATGGAAAAGTAGACATTAAACATCAACTGCATATCTGAAGTTACCCAATGAATTAGTTCCAAGCAGATAGGATGGTGGAAAATGTATTTCACTGAATGCCAGAATGTTTTGACAATGGCACTCCCTCTCACTCTGTGTGCTGTAGTCCAGGCTCCAGCCGTTGCTCAGACCTTCATCATCAGTGTGGTAGTCCAGTTTGACAGTATTGGAGTTTGTGTCTATCAGGCCTGGACTCTTTGCACCACACAGCTTCATGGGCTCTTTGTCTTGAATGGTCACCTTTGGAAAGAGGAGTAGGACACCGTTCTTTTATTGTATGACATATCCATTTATTGCTCTTTGTTTGTATAAAAATCGGTAGTGAATGGAAGCTGCTTGATATAACCTGCAGCCAGTGATGGAGACAGTTTGGGCCTTGCTGAGTGCCCACGCTCTCGATGTGGAAGTTGTCAGAGAAGTTGAGAGACACAGTGAAGCCAGATTCTACAGAAATGATGTACTGACAGGACACGGCATGCGGTGGGGAGTTAGGGTATCCTGGACTGAACAGATGTCCCTCTGGCTCATCAAAAATACCACCACCGCAGGATACTGGGCAAGAAGAAAAGGAAGAAATCAACACACACAAAAGAAAAGGCCCCTCCCCCAAATAAAAAAACATTATTCATCCAGTCTTGTATCCTTAAAAACTTTGCTGAGAGTTTGGCGATACTTCAGGAGAGTAGAAATACGATGCTATGAATCCAGTAATAAAGAAATAGTTCAGTCGTTTGGGAAATTTCTTTGTTACTTTTCTCTGAGAGTTAAATGATGAACCTGTTGATATCCTGACATTTCTCACTGACCACTCACTGACCACCATTGCTGTTGGCTGCTACCTCTTCCACCCCGGCCTCCTCCTTATGTGTTATGCTTTTAGTGTCATTGACCTTACTGAGGACAAATGTTCATTGATGTGATACACGATTGCTGCTTAGATTCTTTGAGAGCTCCCTCAAAGAGCAGCACATTTTCACCTTAGCAGTTTGGGTGGTTTAGTTTGGGTGACATATGAGTCCCAAACAGTTTGATTTAGCATTGGCACCCATACACAGGAGGCATCTATCTGCGCAATACTCACACACACAGGTGCGCTGGTCTGAGCGAAGTTCATAGCCGTGGTGACAAGAGCAGAGGTATGAGCCAAGGGTGTTGAGGCAGATCTGATCGCAGAGTGGACTTGAGCCATCTACGGGGGCGGGCGCAGAACACTCATCTATGTCTGTAGATCAGAAAATCATTAAGTTGGTGGGAGACGGTTCAGCAGTGAGAAGAGGGAAGTGAGAGAAAAGCTGACAGATGAAGAAGAAGTTTTACCTATTGCCTGATACTGAGCAGAGAAGCCCACATTCTGGTGACGCTCTGGGTTGTTGCTGTCTGTCTGGAAGATGAGGGTGAGTCTATTGCCTGGAGAGAAGATGGGCTGGTTGCCAGGGTGATGCCCATCGGCAGAATTCTCATGGCCACAAAACTTTCCCAGGACCTTTCCATCATAGAGAACCTGTAGGACAGTATGAAGGATAAATCATGAGGAGGAAAAATTGCTGTGAAAACATTAAGTGTGTCTGAATCCTGCCTGCAAGTTGTACTTGGCTGTAGATCTTTTGTGCTATGTATTAATTGTCCATAATGAATACTATGTCTGTGACACCTCATAAGGCCAGAAGTCGAAGATTAACTCTCCTATCATGGGATCTGTGTCAAGCCAGCACCATAGAAGTAGATGCAAACCAGAAAGACTGCATTGATGGTCTACTTTTAGTGGACATAGGCTTATAGAATGAACTTATAGTTGTAACCAACAAGAACATCACGTTCAGCCTAGCAGAAACATGAAAAGGTATTTGAAGTCGGTAGAGAAAGTGTCAAAGTGCAAAGCTTAAATTCTTGATAGTCAAGCTTGAGTCAGGTTGTCAAAACTGGCTCTTGTATCACACTTTAGTTTAGAGTTCAGGCACTACAGCACTGTTGTTTATGAATATACAGTGTATGTGTTGAAATATGGCTCTGACTGTAAGGGAATCGTAGTAGCAGCCTGCAGAAGCTTCAATGTCCATGTGTGTGAAGGTGAGTCGGATCTGGTAGCCCTCGGGTACACTGAGGTCCCTTTGCTCCAGCAGGTTGATAGGGTAAGGCTGCGGATACTGGGGGGACTGGACCTCCCCGTGCATTAGAGGCTCAGAGTCAGGCAGCGGCCAGCACTCACACACTGACACATACAGAAACCTGGAAAGATGCATGAACAGAGTCAGCAGTTCGATCTGTTTATCAGTCTGTGGACTTCTGAGCCGCTAGGCCAAAGTTGATGCAAACAGAGAACAAACACAGGGACACAGTCAACACAACTGTGGCAGCCACATAATGTTGTTGAGGCTTTATATATGGCATACTGAAACATGGATCACTCATTCAACCTATAAAACACAACTCATCTGTCACATTGATTGTACAGAAGTTAACAGACAATGATATAAGACTCCACTCGATAATTGATATATACTGTGAATTTTGTAATCAAGCAATAAATTCATGACAAATACTATTTAAATACAACATAAAAATGGGCTTAAACAAAAATTTAACTTACCAGATGATACAGTGGGTCCACCCCATCTCTGAATTAAATATATCTGTGAGTGAACTGATCAACTGTTGTAGGAGCAAATGCCTCACATTCAAGTGAAACATTAATGTTGTTTCCAGTGTTTAGCAACTCACTCCGTTAATGCCAGGAATATGTCTTGTTTGTCTTGGCAAAATCAAATAAACGCTTGACTTTGAGGGTCGATGCTGGAAATAATTCCTCTGTAATGCAGAATTAAGAAAATTTTGTAAATTAGACACCTCCTATGAAATGCAAACTTCTGTTTTAATTATTTTTTATAATCTATTCTAATGAGAATTGCATGAAATATAAAGAACCAGCCTGATTTTGTTTCTTAAACAGCTCTCAGATTTTATACCCTTATCTCAAATTCTGGCTCATGCGCTCACAAGCCGCATCCCACCACTAGAGGGAGCCATTTAAACGTTTTTGTTTTTTGTTTTTTTTCAGCATCACAGACTGTTTTCCACTTGATACCGGCAGGTTGGTAAAGGATTTGGGTGTCAAAGTATTGGGTGAAGCAGAAGATTGCCTCGATAGATTGGAGTAAGTAAAAATAAGTATATGGATTTGATTGTTGCTTACTACATGGGATCAGTTTGAACCTGTTGTCAATTTGAGACCATGTTCATCTTTCTGCTGCTGAGGGACAAAGTCTGACCCCCCCCCCCCACCGCATTCCCCTGTGTTTTAGTACTTTCAGGGCTTTGGGGGCTTTGGGGGATGTGTTATAGCGGTGCGCAACACATTTTTTTTTTTTAGTCTATTCGTTTACATGTTGGTTCAGTGGAAGCATTAAAAGTACGCCGACTAAACCACTGGCAGTTCCTGTTTGCAAAGTAGTCTTGAAGGCACGTTCAGCTCTCACTGGACCACTCTGATACTGACGAAAAGATAAAAACGTAATGATTCTCAGTGAAGTTCTGGATCCAGAAGAAGCGTCTGTTTTATAATAAGCACATTTTTACACTTTAGGAAGTGTAATTTGAACACTGAAATTAATGTTTTTCAGGAAATTACAGAAAAAAAATAATACATATGATCTGATTTTTACTGATGACTAAATCATCAACATCACTAAGTGGTGGTAGAGCATTACTTGTTCTCTGAACGCCGCAATGTTGAGGAAGTGACATGAGAGCCATATTGTGAAGAGGTCACCTAGGGTTTGTTTTTATAAATAAGGTAACAGTCAAAACCTACAAACTATTTCATTTTAAAATGGGGGTTTTGAAAAACAGTTTAAAAGATATGCATGAAAAAATAAAACAAAGGACTGATGCAGAAAACCTTAGCTGTGAAAGTGAATATGGTGCTATTAGCATTGCATGATGACATCCCCCCCCCCCCCCCCCTCCTAATCTGCTGCTCATTGACCAATATTGCAAGATGTGGTAATGATTGGTGGTGTAAGGTTTTCTAAGAACATGTTTTTCTCATGCCTACCTCTTCCAGGCTGTTGGTGTAACTGGGACAATGTTTTCAGTCTACATATCTCATCAATTAAGATAATGGTTCCAGCTGAAATGTTCAGCTTGAACTACTGTGTATGAATTGAACAAAATAATAAACTAAAAAGAAACACTATAATTTAAAACTGAAAACAAATTATTGTTTTACATGTTAAAACACTTTTGTCTGATGTAATGTATACACTGAAATCATTGGTATTAGTTGCGTATGCAAAAGTTTCTTCAATATTGTGATACTAATTCCTTATCTCCCAGCACTAGTAGTCACAAAGTGCCAGGAACTTCACTGTGATCTTGTTGTTCACAAACATGTTTCCAAAAAGTTGCTGTAGAGGCTTCACATCATTACAGATTACAATACAGCCCGTATTGTACTTTATATTCTGTCTGGATGGTCCTTGTTGTGATGCAAGGAGCTCTCACACACAGCATAGTAAAGACTAATGTATAAATATGCAAGAGTTAAGTATTGCAGTGAATGGAGACCCTGAAGGAAGACATGTTTTGTGTGTATCTTTGCTGATAATAATAAAAAGACAAGTTGATTGCAGTTGATTTGCAAACAGTTCCTTTAATACAAAAGTGAAGTATGAAGTCATAAAGTGTTATTATCATTGTGTTTATGTATGTTGGTACATTGATTACAAGATTATAGTCTTTATTCTCATAAACATTTTTATTTTAGAGCTCTGAATCAGTCCTGAAATGGATTATGGGGTTATGGTTAGTAGCAAAGTGTTTCCCCTTTAACTTTCCCTTTCTAAGATTTGTCTACTTTATCCATTGTCTCCTTAATCCAGTGTACATATTTCTCCACTTTGGTGTAATACCCCTTGAACTTCCTCTCGTTACAGCGGGATCCCCAGGACACAATGCCAACCAGATTATAAGGCCCACTGCCTGTAGACAACATAGGTAGAACAAATGGACCTCCACTGTCTTGCTGACAGCTGTCCTTCCCCTCTGCTCCAGCACAGAACATGTTATCAGTGAAAGTCATGCGGTTGTTAGGTGATGAGTAAGGTGTATCCCGACACACATCGAGGGAGTAGACCCCGATGTGAGCGTATTTCAAAATACGAGACTTGGCAAAAGTATTCCTCACTTCTGTAATCCCCCAGCCTGAAACTGTGCCTTGCTCATTTTCCACCATGCCCCTGTTTACAGGTGGCAGACAGATGGGAAGGAGTTTTGGGCCCAAATTCACCCTGGAAGCTAATCTGATAAGAGCAATATCATTGTCAAAATTGGTGCGCCTCTCAGGTGGAATGCTTGTGTCATAGCCCGGATGAATTATGATCTTCTCACTGTCCATGACAACTACGTCAGACACTGCATAAGATGTTTTCTTCCCATCTACCAGTCCACCATACAGCTGCAAAGAAGTTTCCTCTACCCCCTCCACAACATGAGCTGCTGTGACGGCCCACCGGTCGTTGATTAGTGATGCTCCTCCTCTGCTTGGCCTTTTTATCAAAAGTTGCCAAGGTATTTCTCCCAGCACTGCATTCTGACCTCCTAAAATCCTGCCTGCACTCACAGATTCTTTTTCAGGCATCCCGCACACTGAAATACACAGATATTCATCAATGGATTCATATGAAAAAGGAAACTTCTCCAAATAAATAATAAGTAATGTTGAAAAATGTAAGAAATATATTAAACATTATACCTGGATTGCATTTTGGCAACTTTGAGTCTCCGCCACTTGATACCCATTCACCACTGGCACTGCAAGTGTATGTGTCTGAAAGATTGAAGAAAGCATGTTGGTGAAACAACAATAGATCAACCAATCAGTCAATCAAACCAGAAAGCATTGCGTTCCTAAACGTTAGTTTAAGCAAGAAATGTGTAAAAGCTTCCTGTAATCACCGTCTCCATCCAGGGTATAGTACTTTGAACTGCAGTAAAAGTGGATCTGGTCTTCAAACTGAGTGTGTGAATTATCTGAGCCCACCAACTGCAGAATACCATCTTCTGGGATATCAGGATAGCCACAATTTACAGCTTTATGTGGAGGGAAAAAATATTATGGGTAAAAAAACAAGGAATCCAAGACAACTCATTTTAGTTAAGAAATTTTCTGAATAAAACAGAAATCGGTTTGAGTCAGACTCACATTCACAGGGGTGATAAGGGACCCATTGGCCTGTACTCAGGCATGTTGTCTCATACTCTGTTGACAAGGTCTGGATGCCTTGCTACTTTGCAGAAGAAGAATTTAATTAGCTCAACATTGTCTGAAACATTTACATCAAATATAGAATTAATAAAGATTCAGGCTCTCTGTACACTCACAATATTCACAACATGGCCAAGATCACAAGTAACTGTCACTGTTTGACCTGGATGATGTTCTGGTTTGTGAGGAGTCGCAGTGGAGTGTGAGGTTACGACCGCTGGACAGACCTTTCCTGCAGTTGACATGTGAAAGAGTAATTATTTGTGATGAGTTTCCAACCAACCTCCTAACCAATATTCTTTTCCCACTATGGCACAGAGGCTGCAGCACCTCTGGTCTTGAAGTGGAAACTGAAGCCATTGTTTGTGCCGAAGCCGTCAGAGGTAAAGTGGATTTTGACGTGATGTGAGTGAGTGAGGAGGGGAGATGGGGGAGGCGAGTCGCCACAGAATGGTCCCAGAGTCCCAGAGAGAGTCTCAATCTGCAAACAAAACAACACAGGTAATGTCTGACAGTGTGTCATTCCTGATGTCCTCCCTGCTCTGTTCATTCTGGTGAAACATGCAGATGTATGTGTGTCCCCCGGCATGTACAGTACCTATAAAAATGATTCACACAAATGTCAAAGTACAAAACACATATTTGCATAAATATTCAACCACTTGAATAGGACACATCTACAATTCAATCATTTCTGGGGCATCACTGGTAACACTGAATTAGTTAAATGGAGTAAAAAAAAAAGCTATATCAGGACAGGGGTAGGCAATCCTTAAAAACTGAGTGGGTGCTTCAGCAGTTGCAACTTCATGAGGGAACGAGGAGGGAGGTCTTAAAAAAAGGTCACACAACCTCTTGGCTACAGTTTCACGGGAAGCTCTCAAGTAAAATGAATGAAGCCGAATGGAGGGGAATCCTGGAGGAAAACCTGGTGCAGTGTACGAGAAAACCTGCGACTTGGTAGAAGACTTATTTTTCATAAAGACAATGACCCCAAGTATGAAACCAGAGCTATTCAGGAATGGCTTTAAAACAACATTGTTAATGTCCTGGCGTAGCTGAGTCATAGTTCAGATCCAGAGCAATGGGGAAAAATTTCAGTGTCCATATGTGCAGTGCTAATGGAGACCAACACCTATCCACACACAGACTCAGGACTCTAATCGCTGCCAAAGGGATATCTACTAAGACTGAGACTTGTAGGGTTTCAACATTTTTGTCCGATCTTGTTTGCTGCTCTATTAAGTTTTAGAAGAAAACACGCTTCCATGTGGCATTTATGTATTCTGACTCAACACCTACCCTCAGTGCGTCTATGCATTGACCATCAGGGCTTTGCTCCACATCGAAAACCCCAGAGAAGTGCAGCTCCAGCTGCAGGTGGGCCTCCACAGACAGGGTGTACTGACAGTTGGCATTCTCTGCATATGAACCAGGCCAGGAGGGACTGGATATGTCTCCTTTGTTCAACCCTGACAGGTCCTTGCTACAACTCACTGTGTTGAAGATAAGAGTTCATTGTCATCACACATATATTTCTTTAATTAACATAATCATAAGCATTACACAATCAACCTTCTCATCTAATTCTCCTTTTTCCCCTCCTTTGTTTGTGCCTGCTTCTGCTTCCTCTTTTCCCATTTTCACTTCCCTTTTCAGTTTTGTTCCTTCTTCTTGATTTGTCATCCTCTGCCTCTATATGTTAACTCATATTTCTGTGCACTCTTTACTGATAATATGACTATTTGTACCTGTGCAAGTGTGTTTGTCCATGCCCAGGTGGTAGCCATGGCGACAGGAGCAGTGGTACCCTCCGATGAAGTTGTGACAGAACTGGGTGCAACCGTTTTCTGGGTCGTCCTCACATTCATTAAAGTCTGAGAGAACAAATTAATTAAAGGGCGAATGACAGATTATACATTACTTAAATGATTTTATACACATGTTGCAGTAATTCCACAAACCTACTGACAATAAGTTGATCCACACATGTCGCTCAACAAAAGACACAAACCAGAACCAGAATTACAGAGATTCTACATTCTTGAGCCGTTCACTTTTAATTATAGAGTTAATCATTTTAACTGTATAAAGTACAGTCACAAATGTTATTATAAACAGTGTTTGTCAGTTTTAGTGTGAAACTCATTTTCCGCCGAACAGCCATGATTGTGCTGCCTGAGGCTGTTTCAGATGAAACATCAGTCACTGCAGCTCCTTAGAACTGAAACTGAAAGTCTCAGTGTGAAACACTCACATTTTAGATGCATTAGCATTTCAGTCATTTATTTGGCCTATTTCTAAGATAATGTCATGATTACATTCATCTATTATTTGTGGCTCAAATAGGAAATCACAGTTGACCGTGGATAAACTCATCCGGGACACTTTATATTTATGACATGAAAAATATGTCAAACTGTTTCCAAGTCAGGTTTCGCAGCTATAAACTACAATCATTGTGAATTGTTGTCTAAAAGTATGATTACAAAAGTATTTATACTGATGAAAACATACACGTACAAACTGGGCTGTCCTGGGGAAAGGGGGAAAAATAAAATGGACACAAAAATACAATGGAAATGGACAATGGAAACTTGGCTTTTTTTTCTCCTGTGTGTCTCACCTTGCACAGTGTAAAAGCCTCTGAAGCCAGTGTGCCTCTTGGTGTTTGAGTAGTCGGAGTGGAAAGACAGAGAGAGGCAGCCGCCCGGAGAGGAGACGAGCAGGGGATTTACAGTGGATTGGAGTTCCTCAAATTCCCTTTTGCCACACAGAACATAAATCAAGTTTCCATTTGAATAGACCTAGGAAAAGAATGGACGGACAAAATACAATAAGAATAGTAGTCGTCTTAACTTACTTAAGAATAAGAATTTTAAGTTCATCATGACCCCTGACCTTCACTGCATCGTTTTCACAGTCCCGGCTGTCCTCCAGGTCCAGGTGGATGAGCCTGATGGAGAGGGTGTGACCTTTGGGGGCACACCTGCTCCAGTTAAGACTGGCATGGGGCAAGTATCCACTGGGATATCCTGGAGACTCCACCCATCCCAGCAGCATCGAGCAGGCCGAGTGGGAGAGCAGGATAACCAGGAGACTGAAGAGAAAGATGGGGGATAAGAAAATCCAGGGGGAAGAGGAGTTGGTGTAGGGAAAACGTGAGGAACATAAAGTCAGGAAAGAAAAGGAACATTTAAATTTATTTACAATTTTAAGTGAAAGACAGAGGAAGTGGTCTATGCATAAAACAGAAGAAAATAATAACTCACAGTGTTATAACCAGATACGTTAACATCTTAAGTACTTTACCCGTCTATTGTAAACCAATATGTGTAGTCTTTATCTGTCTAGTAAAATGTAAAAATCTACACCCACCTTAGTCTTAACATTGTGATCCGATCAAATCTCTCCTCAAATAAACTACCTCAACATCTCTCTTCCCCTTTTCTTATTAATTTACTTTCCATCTCTCACTTTGGCTCGCTGGACCCCTTCCTGTCTCACTCACATTTTGCATCGGTAAGCATTTATAAATCTATTTTTAGATTTTTTTTCTGTACGTTTGCAGTAATGAGGGTAGTGACTTTGGGTTTGTGACATGGCAGGAAGACAGACTGAGCCCAAAGCTTTTCAGGTGAACTTTAGCAAAACAAAATCCCCCTGCAGTTTTAGCCCAACATCATTCCTGTACCACCAGGATGAGGGTTCAGAGGAAACAATGGCAATGGAGTGAAAGGAAAGGGTGTGCTGGTGAGAGGAAATGTCTCATTGTGCGGCTTTGCTTTGTGCAGCCAAAAATCAGTCTTCTGTCCTGTAGCTATGGAAACACACACGCACAGCTTACTTTGCAGTGAGAGGGGTAGGACAGGAAGGAAACAGGGGAGAGAGAGAGAGAGAGAGAGAGAGAGAGAGAGAGAGACAGACAGACAGAGAGAGAGACAGAGAAAGAGAGAGAGAGAGACAGAGACAGCGAGACAGAGGGGAAAACAGTAGATGAGGGTCACTGGGGTTTTCCACTGTGTAGGATGAGAAATAGGTAAGGCAGAGTGAGGAGGGGAAACATATGTGTAGTCACACAAAGCTCAGACAGCAGAAAGAGAGTGGAGACGGAAGAACGAGAGCGGCGAATGAGTGAACTTCAGAAAAAGAGATTTCCCTGTCAGTGATGCTCTTTCAGCTAAGATAACTTTCACAGCCGTAATTTCAAAGGTTAGGAGCAGGGTTAGAGAAAGAGTGTAAAGGTCATTGACCGGCAAGCTTAGATATTTTACACACAGGTGGTGGACTAATCGAATGGGATACAGATGGCAAAGATGAATTGCTCAAATGAGAATACATATTATAAAGATGGAAAATGCTGTGATCGTTGTCCTGCAGGTGAGTCACTAACATTTCTTTTCTCCTTGGATAATAAACATATACATATGACTGTGCAAACCACGAAACCTTATGTACTGTGTGTCTGGTCTGTGAAAATATTCAGCTTGTCTGCATAGTTCATATACTGTATTAGCATTGCCTGACATCTACTTCTTCTGTACGTCTCAATTCTGTCTCAGGAATGTATATGCAAGCGGAGTGTGACGGCTCAAAGCCAACCAAGTGTGCTAAATGTGAACATGGGAGCTACACGGCCACGAAAAATCACTTGAACAAATGCCAAGTCTGCAGTGTGTGCAGTTCCCGTAAGTCACACACATGCACATACAGTACTGTGTGTGCACACACACACACACACATAATCTTTCTGTCACAAGTGCAAACAAACACAGTTCCTTCCTCTTCTCCCCCCAGTATAAATAGATGCATTGCAGTTGTGTCTTTATGTGAACACCGTCACAAATCCACTTCTCTTCTTTCAAATCAACTCACTTGCTGGTGGGGTCAATTATTACATTAACTGATGCTGAACAGCAAGAAGTTTGTTCAAAATGTTTCACACTCTGTTTCAAATTTAAGTGGAGACCCCAAAGTTTCGAAAGACACCACACATGTTTGGCTCAGTTTTTGGGGAAATGATGCACAAGTTATCTGGAATATTCCCATTTAAGAAAAGTGATGCAACAAAAAACATTCTCAAGTCTTTTAGCATTTGACTCAGTCTGAGCATTATGTGGTTTAAATGAAGAACTGGAACAAACCTATATATAGAAATATGTGAATTTAACCCAGTTTTACAATTTCACACATTTGAACTAATTCTTCAAGTTTAATTATGTTGACTCACATTTGTAAAGCAGCAAGGGAGCTGATGTTTTCAAGTTGAATGAACTTAAAGTCCAGTCACATCCAGTCACTTTTATCTGTGTAGCCTAAAATATCTGTGTAGCTTTCTTGTCCAGAGCCTCTGTTTGAAGTGACTGTTAATATTCCTTGTTGGAAAGTCATTCAAACTACAAACAGATGCAAAATTACTACAGAGAGATGCAAAACAACTACAAAGAGACAAAACGATTACACAGACAACCACAACTAGACACAAAGAGGGGCTTATCACCCCATGTAGGAGCAACAGAGGAGAGGTCCCTCTCCCAGGACACACACTCACTCTTTATATTTTCTCTTTGACTCTTTCAGATAACAAGCAGAAGAAAGCATACTCCTGTACAGCCATACAGAACACAGTGTGTGACTGTGAGACTGGTTTCTACTGTAGTAATGTTCAGTGTGACCACTGCCTGCCACTGACCAAATGCCTTGAGGGTGAAGGAGTCAAGCTTCCTGGTAGGCTTCCATTATAAAATGCGAAATAAATGACCATGTACTACCGCATGCGTTCACATCTTGTACAGTAGGGTAAAATAAAACAAACAACAGAAAATGACAATTGAAGTCTACATTTAATTCCTTCTTGCAGCCGGTCGTACCAATGATACAATCTGTGCTCCATGTGAAAAGGGGACCTACAGCAACAAGACAGATTTCGTCTCAACCTGTGAAAAGCATACCAGGTAAGACTATTTGCTTTTATTACTATTAAAGCTGGAAGAGGATGTCAGTGTATGTCATGTGGTAAACCGTGAGTGAGTCACACATTAGTTATCCACTGACACACAGCTGAAACGAAACCCAAAACATCCCACATTACACCTACTGAAACTTGATTTGATCCACACTATAGGAATTGTGCAGTTTCTACAGCTTGTCTGAGGCTTTTTTTAACATCAGTCTCAGTGGGACTAACATGCCCAAATTTTAAAAAAAGTTTTTCTTTGTACATCTTTTGCAGATGCGAGGACTTGGGAAGAGAGCTTAAATCTGAAGGAACTTCAACAAAAAATGCCGTCTGCAGTGACGTCTTACCACGTAAGTCTCCAGATTTGACTTAAGACTGTTGCTTTACTTGTGCGTCTTCTTTTCAGATCTTAAAATCTTTTACTTTGAAAAGAAATGAACTTGTGCAAAGTGGCAGATGATCTTACCCGAATTGACTCAGTGAGTTCCTGTTGGCCTTCCGTTCCTTTCTTGTCATATGACAAGATTATTAAGAAAGTAAGAATCAGTATACATGAGAAATAATTTAATTGGTGGAGATTAATCTAAGCAACTTCCTGCAGTTAGCATTGTCTCACTGTATAATTGACAATGTGAAAGGAGTCACTTTTAATGATGAACCTACTGAGAATTATCACCTGAATCTGCAGCTCTCCTTGGATTTACAAAGCGTTTTATTAGAGTTTCAGCTCATTGTTTAGCTGTTCAGCTTTTCTGTTTTGGTTCACTCTCACCACTCTCATAGAGCCGTTTTCTCTCACACAAGGCAGCTGTTTTTACAGAAAATGCTGCCCACCCAGATTTAGCGTCTAGCTTGTGAACATCTTGTGAACATAGTGGGGCCTGTAGCAGCTAAAGAGCCAGATATTTTTATCAGGAGTCAGCAGAGACCAAAACCAGGACTTAAAGAGACTAACATTTCAAAAACATGACTCGAAATAAATGATAATGCTGCTCTGTAACTGCTAGATGTGTAAATTAGCGACTGTTTCCCAACATGTTTGCCATGTCAAATTAAAAAGTGATATGTCACAATGTGTTCTGCTGTCCCCAAGTGGCCAAAAAAATGTTTTGGGACTGAGGTCTGCGACTGGCTAAACACTAAATACTGAAACATTGCGTGGGGCTGGGCCATGGCCTTACCTTCACGACCACATTACCAGTGTTTTAAATTTACTCAAGCAGCAACAGTTAGTTGTGGAGTAGTGTCTATAAATCAAATGTTACCGAAAAGGCTATGCTTTTCATGTGACCGTTCATAATAGTCATAAAACTAATTCGCAATAGTTGTCGAGGAACTTGCGTTAAGCCTTTTTGATTATGTCAGCCATTAACTTTCTGACAATATTATTAATGAGGAAACAAGAGCAGTATTCAGTAATCATTCACACCCTCTCTCCATTTCCCAGAGGTTACAGTGTGTTTACATAAAGTTACATAAGAAACCCCCTCTCTCTTTCTCTCTGCGTATGTTCTTCAGGGTGTTCCTGGATGTTGCCCGCAGCCCTGTGGTCAGGACTTGTGTTGACTGCGCTCATCCTGTTTGCTGTAGTCATCTGCAGGAGGGCAAAACGCAAATCATACAGAGCAGGTATGTGCAACACGTCACATGTGCTGGTTTCATCACTGTCTTTCACACACTTTTGTTCTCATACTTATGAAAAAAAAAACAAAAAGTCTTCCTGAAGGGGCGACAAAGCAGTGCATAAGCAGGCCTACTCAGTGGCAGTAAGTGCGCATGCTGTTAGCCACAACTGTGAGACACTTTGAAGTCATACAGTTGAAGGTCACTGCTGATCTCTCTGCCCTCCCACTGTTTCCTTTACAGTGAATTAAAAAAAAAAAAAAAGAAAACTCTGAGTAAGGTAAAATGAAATTTACATACCTGATTTTCCTGTAATCATTTGAATCAAATTTGGTCTGAAGTTTGTTCATAATGGATTTTTTTTTTTTTTTTTTTTTTTTTTGCACAGAAGCAAAAATGTTTATCAGTTAGTGTAACCCAGGCAGGTTAAACAAGGAGCTGTGTAACACAATGCTAGACACGCTTGACGAGCATGACAAACTGAATGGGGAAACCACATCCTGTACATATTCAGCCTGACACAGTTATTTGGTATAATGTGACGCACACTTCATGGGCAACTAAGTAATACAGAGAAACAGGCTGTACGTATTTGGCACAGTCCCATAACTGAATGTTTTGGCTGACGTTGCCCTGTAATTTCATTGACATTTACTGTATTTCCAGTGAAGCAATGGGCCAGTACTGGAATTTACAGATCAAGTGCAGTTAGTAAAGGGAAGGTCAGCCTTCGAGAAGAAGTATGTTGTTCTCCCACTCTGATAGTAACATCTGGGTTTCAGATTAAACATACCGGTTGAAAGATAACATCAGTGGTACAATAGTTCTTTTATTCGCTGTGTTGACAGCAATTGATAATGTTCAAATGTTCACTGAAACAGAGAACACAGTGATGTCAGTGTTTCCCAGTAATTTTTCTAATCACAATATGTCTGCATTTTCTTCATATCTTTAAAGGATTCTTTCCACCCAAATTACTAAAAGACATGTTTTCATACTCGTAGTAGAATGGTACCATGACAGTTTCAGTTTTATTTGCTGAGGTTTTGAGATAACAGTCTGTAAGATTTTTACTGTCAGCAGAATTTAGTGTGCACAGCTCAGAGCACTGTTTCTAAGGACAGTGAAAACTGCTTAAGGTCTCTGTGGTAAGGATAAATAACAAAGACTTTTATCTGGTAAAACAAGTTACTGTTTTTTCTTTTGAGTTAAAGCCCACCTCCACTCAAAAAAGCTCTGCTTATTGTTAATTTACTTGAGTTTGACACCTGAAGACTGTTTCCAAATGAATCTGTTAAAGGAGGAAGGTTCCTGGGTACTCACGTAAAATATGAGTTTCAGATGTGCATGTTACCAGCAGGGTTATGGTGACATCGCATCAAGTGGTGACGCCAGTATTGGTCTATTATGTAAATTACACAAATGTTACACGGGAACTTGGAGCCTCCAGCACAAATACAGTGAGAATAGACTTTCCACGGAAATGAGAGGCATCAAGAAAAAATATTTACATATTCATAGATTCTGTATTTTCAACAAGTTAAAATATGACACAGGGTGCCTCTACAATGCACCTAGACAGAATAGATTGATCTCAAGTGATATTGTCCTTAAGGGATACATATTAACAAACAAATTTGCAATTATTCAAATAACCACAAACCAGCTGACACCCAGTGGATGTGGGGTCTTTGGGGCACATGAGGTTTTCTTTCTGAGGCTGCTGCTCGCTTTGACTGGTTGGTAATTCAGTCCTACTCTCTGCAGGTTTTAAAGGCAGCTTGAATTTGTAGCAGCTTCAGTGGATACCAATATTGACACGTAAAAAAGCAGTAGGCTTATATTTAGCCACATAATGGCGAATTGATGGCTGTATGAATGCATGTGAACATCTGCAGTGTACAGCGGGGGCGGATTGACACACTTATTTTGAAGGTTTTGATACTTTTTTCCGACTTAAAATTTGACCCCATTGGAATCTCACATAGCTGCTGTGAGTCAAATCTGACTACGGAGCTTATCTGTGAAAAAGGAAACGGCGTTCTCACAACCGCCTTTCAAGTTAGCAGGAGATGAGTCTAATTCTCAAAAGAAAAATTTAAAGGGTATCAAATTAATTTACATGAGTCTCACTGAGCTGTAGTTCATTTGAATTTTACAGGATTGTTAATTAAGAAGTAGGAAAGGTTGTGCTGCATGTGTGTTGATTCTTATCAGGATCACATATGGATGACTCTTGGTACTACACAAATTTGTCTGTTAATTTTGAGAGATTACAGTGTCACCTATAGGCCACATAATGAGTCACCAAGGCTACAGTCCAAATCAGATAAAACTTAATCGAAAACCTGGTGCGTTTTACGTGTTTGCAAATGTTTGCTATGATTATAAGGGGCATCCTTGTGAGCATAATACTGAATAATTTTATTTTTTATCCTATTTTCTGTGAGAAAGCCAAGTCCAGAGTTCCTGTTACCATGGTAGACATGGTTCCTGCGGCACTGGGCAAGTCGATGGAGCTGCCTTTACCGTCTATAGAGCTGAACGGACACTGCCAAGAGAGCTGCCCCGTGGGAGACTGCAAGTCACCGCTTTTCAACCCAGGTGATAAATCCCTGAACACTGCAGCATGCAAATACACTCCAGCTTTACAGTTTTTGTTATACCTGTTCTACAAAAAAGTTTTTTGATGTTGTTGTATTTTGGGGGTATTTTTCCATACCTTTAATAGAGCTCTTGACAGTAGAGAGATGATAGAAAATGAGTAGAGAGCAATAAGCAATGACATGCAACAGGGGTCCTCAGCCGGACTCTAACCAGAGGCCTTGTGATCTATACATATATTCAAGTGTACACATTAAAATATGTAACACTTAAGAGGAAGCCATATAAATATATACAGTGCACTGTGCACAACAGCCATGTGAGGTCTCAGAAAATCCCTGCTATTACTCTCGTCTTCTGACTTCTGATAAACAAGAAGATTGAAGATGTACATACAGGGGACAAATTAAAGGAAAAAAAACTGAATAAATAAGTGGAGAAAAAACGAATGTAGAGGCTTGAGTACAGGGCACAGGGTTGGGGGGGGGGGTCACTGGAAGTATGAAAATGATATGAATCGTATACTATGGCCCTCAAAACCACCAGAACTCAACACCTATGGGAGTTTTTGGAACGACATGTTAGACAGTGCTCTTCACCATCACCATCATCAAAAAGTCAAATGAGGTAATATCCGTCTAGAAGAGCAGTGGAGGGATCAACACTGTTGATGTTGGTTGTTCTGGAGCCGCGCTGTCGTCCAACACATCACCAGAGGCTCTTTATGTTAAGTTTCCTTTAATTTGTCACCAACCTGTATATCAGAGTGAGACGAGTATTCATTTCTCCAGCACTAATCTGTATTAACCTCCCACGTCCATAAATGCTGTCAGCCTCTTTAAGAATTGCGTTTCATCGTGCCTCATGAAGTGTGAAGTATGTTTCACACAGCAGTGTAACATTAATTGGAAGGATGGTCACACTCACTATTGATTTTCTCCTCCTCAGATGATGATGATGATAATCTGGTCAGTTGCAGCGTGGACAGCAGCCTTCCTATAACACCATTTAAGGCCTCAGTTTCTTTCGCTGAATCCAATCACACCACTAGAAGTGCAGGATACCGCACAGGCAGCTTCCTCAGGACCTACTCAGAGCCACAGGAGGACGAGTGGTGTGGGACATAAAGTAAATGTTGTTGTAACAGTATACTGAAGGAGCTTAGAGTTCCTCTCTGGCTTGGAGATGCTGCAACATCTTTTTACAAAACTGTTAACTATTTATACAAAACAGCAGGATTTCACTTTGTGGAGAGTTGAAGGAGGATGACAGTTTGTCGCCTCCTGCAGGACTTTTAGGAGAACTTCACTTTGGGTGGTGTGATATTTCTGTGTAGCATTTACAGTGAGACGAACAGCTGAAAATGGAGGAGAACATTCATAATATGAACAGAATTAAGTTGTCATTCCCTTTAATGTGAATTTGTCTTCGAGAGGAGCTTCACAAGTAAAAGCAGCGCCGTCTGCGGTCTTTAGCTGCAGCTCAGTGCCGTCTCTGTTAAAGGATGTCCGGTGATATTCTATATTTCTCTTATTGTCAACAAATCCCACACAATCCATTGTTGTGTGTGACGTGATGTGATTCTCCTTTGTCATGAACATGGGCACTGTAGTTTATCGTGACTCAATTCCACGTACAAGTGTCTTGCTGCTGAACCACAGTGGAAAATAGTCCCTAACAAAACACTCTTTTTACTCCTATTTAACATTTCCTAAAAACTACAGTGCCCAGCTGTTATAGGACATTACTAAACCATTTCTAAAAAAAAATGTAACTTCATATTTGTTATCCATTTTTAAACATTTACACCGGCGTTAGGAGCAAATGGGCTTTGGACTGAGTGCCACAGATGCGGTAAAAAAGTGAACAAGTATAGAGAAACAAAATCATATGTTGCTGGTTTTAGATTTTTCGTGGAATTTGTTGACAGTAAGGAAAATATTATCCTTTTATGTTAACTATGTCTTTGTAATTTTGCTTCATAGGATATCTAATTTAACTTAAACTGTTCCAGCTTCAGCAAATGATTGAGGTTCAGAATTGTACAGTGTAATTGTTAAAAGTCAAAAAACAAAACTCTCCGTCTTCTTTTTTAAGTACATTGTAATGCAGATTTTGACTGCTGAATTTCAGTATTTATAAAACTCTTAGATGTGCAGCAACAATACAACACACACACACACACACACACACACACACACACAAACAAACAGACAGAATGACAGCAGAAACTTGGAGTGTAATGTTATGTATTAAAGACGGATCGGTGATGTTTGACAGATGTCTGATTTGTTTATAACATTGTGGAGATAGATCGTGCAATATGAGGAGATATGTTGGGAATGTTTACACAAGTCGAGAATCATTCTGCTCAGCTGCTCTCTTCTCAGTTAGTACCATCAGACAGAAACAATTAACAACATGTACTGTACATAACAGTATGTGATATTTCAAAATATTCTTGATTATAATAAAAATAAAGCTATAAACATTTTAATTCTCGCACCAAGTTCTTGACTAGAATAAGAAGAATAAATTGAGGTTATTCACTAACTACATATTTCTACATGACTTCAATCTTCCTTTTTGAAGACTTGCTTGGCAACCACGCCTTGAACTCTCATCTCCTGCAGAGAGCAAAAAGACCATGGGGGAGGGGGTGGGGTGAGGGGGTGGCATAAGGGGAAAAGGGGGGTGGGGGGGGTTGTAAATGAATAGTGGGAATCAATACGACAGTTTGGCACATCAAAGGAGATCTAAATGAGTGATACACAAACCTGGGATTGTATCCAAAACACCTCCCTCCCTCCCTCCCTCTCCTCATCCTTTGACCTTGTAATCTCTGTCTCCCACTCTTTCCTTGTCTACTTATCTCCTCCCTTTTTAGCCCCCCACCCATCCCCCGCTCCCCTTTCTCCTCCTCCGGCACCCCCCCCCCTCACTCATTCTTCATTAGTCACTCTCTGCTCCCTTCTCCTGCTTTGTGAAACCTCTAAAATCCACCATTTTAAAGCCTGATCCTTGCTGGCATTTCTTTCCCAACTCTCTCCTGAATCTGGACACGGCGTCAACAACACGCTGTTTTTGTCCCGTCTGAAAACAGAGGTATTAGAAAACCCTGTGAGAGCTGTTTACTGGAACAATGCGGATTGTTTAAAATTGTAATCAGCGCTGACAGATAATCTATAATCTTAAACTCTTTTACAACCAAAACGAGAAGGTCCAATCCTCTCCATTGGCCCTGAGTTATTGTAGCATTTTACTACAACGTGCATTCAAGAGTCTTCTGCCTCTTTTGTGTTTGCCCTCTTTTGCTTTTTCCTTCAGGCATGCGCAGGCAAACTTCTCCCACAGACAGACATAGTATAATGGAAGACGGCAAGGACTTCCAAACCTTGTCCTATTTGCATGTCCTCATTTAGCATATCAATTTCAACATCTTTTCCCCTTTATGCTTCCATTTTCCTTGTTCCGTATCCCTCCCTCCATCCATCCCTCCCCCTCTCCATCTGCTTTGGCCTCTCCCTCACCTCTTTTCACTCCATCCATATACATCCTTACCAAATGCAGCTTGTTACCCTCCAGCCAGTGCGTCCAGCCTCGGCCCTCTTTCTCCCCTCGCTGTACGCACACCAGCTTGTCTCCCTCCCAGCTCACTGTAGTCTGCGTAAGCACAAAGATGTTGTGTGTAATTAGTATGTAAAGTGGCTCACACATTCAATCACAAGAGCCTTTGTGCAATGCAAAAGGGTGGCCAGGAGTTCAAACCTTTTTTTTTTATGTCTCTTAGAGCCTCTGCTTTTCTACTGTGTTGCTTCCGTTTTGCTCATTTTTTTCCACAGTAAGATACTGCTGCTTATTCTGATTCATGCACCAGTTTCTGAATGAATTTGTGAGCTGAAAAGAAAATCTATCAAAATGTTGTTGTTTTTTTTTTTTTTTTATTCATTGCTTTCTTTTTCTCACACACATCACTCTTTGTAGGCCGAAGCCGGGACTTGAGCAGCAGGGGGTGGTTACAGCACAAAATCACAGCAGTGGGTGGGCCGACTTTGCTCTGACACTCCAAATGAAAAAACACACAAAGCAAACTTGTGTAACAAGTAATGATACTGCATATTCACTGTAACATCGAGCCGGTACGCATGTCCAAACAAGTCAATGTGCATATTCAGCAAATGAAACAAAACAAATCACCTGACAGGTACGTCCATCCACTGGCCCCAGGTCCTCAGTAAACTCTTTTCCAATAGTGAAATCCATGTTGAAGTTCTTCAGCGTGGTGACGGTGCGGATCTTCATGGTCCCTGTGGCCGGGTCATGGCTGATCTCTTTGGTGGGCTTCAAGAGACACACGATCTTCCTCAGAGCAAAATTAATATCTGAGAGGAGAGACAGAGGATATAACACTGGCCATGGGGTATAATTTAAAGTTATTTCATAGCAGGGGAGCTTTGTTTGTCACACTCAATGTGACAGTGCACACTAAATTAATACATTCTCTATGTGTGTGTGTGTGTGTGTGTGTGTGTGTGAGTCTGTGAGTGAGTCTGGGGTCATGTAAAGGACAAAGTGTCATTTTCATTACACTAATGTGCTGCTGCAAATGAAGATGGTTCCACATCATGAAAATCAGTGAAGATTAAGTGAGAAAGATTAACTTAAAGCAACAATGCAATAAAACAAAGTGCAACAAAGTCTGAATGTGGAAGTTGTGGAGGAGAGCTCATTGTGCTTGCACAAGACAGGAAAGTGTATTTGTTTTAATAGGCTACAGTTGCTGTAAAAGGCACTCTGGTGTGATTTAAGGAGTCTTACCTAAAGCTGCGAGGTAGGAGTCCATATTATCCTGCTCCGCCAAGTGATACGTGCCGGAGTAATTAGGCTGAGACATGTTTCTTCTTTAGATCCTTCCACACGAGCTCAAATCTCGACTTTTCTTTCTTCTGGTTTTCCTTGAGTCAAGATTCCCTAGATTATCTCCCGCCTTCTTGGTATCACTTTCACATACGCAACTTCGTAGGACAATGCCTGGATTGGACGGGGACTGTGCGTAAAATGAGACTGCGGTGACTTTTTTTGTAGCTCCAATTACAGTGTGAGGCCTCTCTGTGCTGGAGACTCACTCTGGATCTCTGAAACCCTCTCCGGTCAGTTAGTGACTCACGCAGCCGGACAGCGGAGTTTTACTGCAGCACCACATACAGGGGGAGGTTCGTTCATCTTTCCCAACGCTTGACTCAGAGGGATCAGTTGCAGGCAGGGGCGGTGCTTCGGATCCCTAAAACATGTGGTGGGTGGGGTGAAGATGCACCGAGCATACTACACGTTACAGACTTGCTTGGGTTTAAATGCAGTCAGCAGACCAGTAGGCCTATGTCTACAGTCCCAGAGGGGTTATCTAAAAGCGAGATGCAGGGTTTTATGTCAGATGTAGGGACACACACTCCTGTTTACACTCTGAGCAGTGACACACACTCCTGTGGTGCAGAAACACTTCACCACTCAATATCTCCACACTGCAGGGAGAGGTTAAAGGTCCAATTTCTCATGACCAGTCAGCATTTTTCGATTTTCTAATGATTTATAATATTGGTTTAAACGTTATCGATGTAGTAGAGACAATGAGAATGGACAGATTATTTAGACACTAAACACACGTTTAGCATCCCTTTGTGGTCATTTAGCATTATTCTGTGTCTCTTATATTAATCCCAGGGTCCCCCCCTGACCTCTGGGGACCCTGAGCCCTTGCCCAGTAGGCCCGTTCAGCAACCCATCCATAACAACAAGGTCCATTTAGTAGCTTTTCTGGAGCTTTCAAACATGCATGATCTTCAGCTAATGGTGCCAAGTTTTTTTCTGAGCACTCAAAGGATTTGTTCTAGGTATTGGTTTAAAAGTGAGGTTCAAAGCTAAGATTTATTTTTGCCCTTTAATGACAGTGACAGTAGAGAGTGACAGGAAGTGGGGGGGGGGGGGGGGGGGGGTGACATGCAGCAAAACTGGATTTGAACCCAGGCCACCGCAGAAAGGACTCATCTTTAATATATGTCATGTTAAACATCTTAAACAGTGTGTCAGGGTCCAGTATACGCAAAGCATATACTGGACCTTGGAAACAGCCGTTGAGAAAACACTGATAGGACTGAATCACTGATGTAATCAAACCTTTAACAGCATCAACTTCCTGCTTCCTGCTGTTAGTGTTTGGGAGTGAGAGCAGGTTACTGTCTGTGTTGATTGAGGAGAGCGTAGGATCCCATAAGGATTTAAGTGTCTTTACTGAAATAAAGAGACAGTCACACAAGTGTACACACATGATTTGCCTTTATTTGAAAAACCAAGCATTCATGTGTCACATGAGATGACAACGACTGATCTTGTCTCTGTTTTTAAACCTTAAATTTATTTTGCATAAGGTCTTCACTAAAAGACAAATTCTTCAATAAAAGAGCACTTGCATAAATATAATAACATGACATACTTTGATAAAACTTCTCAGGCTCTTCTATCTTTTTCTCACTGAGCCACTTTTCTTGTCTGACTTTGACTTCTTCACATCCTTCTTTCCTTTTGACAGATTCTCGTAAACATCCTCCTTGTTTCTGGGAATAAAACAAACAAAAAAACAAAAACAAAAGCTGATCATTGATTTCTGCAGTGATGCAACACTATATTTTCAAAAAGCAGATAACAGTGATAAGACACAGATCTGTAATAAGTGAATCAGGAAACGAACAGCAGCTGCTGCATGAGAACGATTAAAACCACCGGACCAAGCGTGAATCAATCACTCAAAGCTGGCAGCCAACTATTCAGAGCTCCAAGTGGGTCAAAGTTTACGGCTGAATTATCCAGTGCATGTGTGCTGTGTTTCTTTCCTAATTGGTTAATTAAAACATTGTCCAGTTTATATTCATTTATATGAGCAGCTCTCGGCCCAGAGGTCACACAAACATTATTCAGACAACAAAACAGCGATAAGCGGGGTGTCTTCAATTTGTTTTTACGCTGTAGAAAACATCTGTCTTGTTTATCTCCGACACCCATTAAAGGGTCACTTCACTGATTTTACGCACAGTTTTCTCTCCAAGACCAGTGAAAACAGTTCAGTATAATGTCTTCTGTGGCAGGGGCTTTTCAAAGAATAAAAAAAAACCCAAGCTGAGATAACCCTGATGACATCATCAGGGTTATCTCAGCTTGGGTTTGAGACTTATACTTAAAAGCCTTACCACCATGCATTAAATGCCTGCATTACAAACTGGTGATGTAGGGTTTTAAAGATGTGGGCATTTAGGAGGCAAGGAGGGTCTAATAAAAGATGCTAATGAGTTTTGGGAAATGTAAAATCCAGTCTTTTTGGAGCTTGATTTGCACTAGGTGCTAAAAGTCGGGATATCTCAACCTCAGCTACTTTGATTTTGATCAGTCCTTTAAAAATCTGTATGTCGCATCACAAGTGCTTGTCGAATGGTCGAATAGCTTCGGGAAACGAATTCTTCACCCCCCAACATCCATTTGTTACAAAACTATTTCTACAGAACTACAACCCAGTGCAACAATATGAATGTCTTCCCTGAGAGACTGTCTGAAAATGACCCCCGCAACTATAAACCATTATGATTTCAACAACACGTCCTACTAACTAGCTCTGATCAAGCGTAGCCCGACCCTAATTCATCGGAGTGCCCCTTTGATCCCAGCAGAGAAATAATTCTTATTCTCCTCTGCAAAGAGGGGTCACTACCACGGTTACTGGAGCTGAGAATCACACATGAAACAAAGGAAAACAGAAGCTCGGGTTTCCTTTGATTCGCAGCTAGTCTGGACAGCTTAGTAATAAAAGTAATAAAAACAATGGCTGATGGCCACAGTTTAGAGAGTGGGTGCCAGCCTGTGTGTGACCACTAGGGACTCTGTACAAAAGTGGAGCTGGGACTACAATGCGTCCTCCCACCACCCACAGCTACTTCTCTCGAAAAAATGAGACCGCCTGCAGCTCGGCTCTTCCTCCAGAAACTGCTGACGTGAGGCTGAAAACGGTGACTAAGTCATGGGTTTTAAAAGAAAGTAGGGCGGCAGTGTGAGGTTTAGAGGGGAAATGTGAATGTATTGAGGACATCCAATTTACGCACACAGAAACACACACACACTCACTTTGAGACCTTCCTGCTCGCTGGTTGGTGTTTGAGTTGCAGATTTCCATACTCCGTCTCGGCTTCCTGGGGAAGAGAAAAATAGAGGCGGTTCAGATATGACAGAGAGAGGTCATGCGACTGGTCTCGTCTATGCGGTTGAATGTTTTCTGTCTCAGGGTCAACATTCATCTTTCACAAGCCCCTTTCTGATAACATATCACTCTGTTGGCATTGAGCTAGTCTGCTCTGCTGTTCACATCAGCAGTCAATAGTGCAAAGGTCTATTGACATACATATCTCTATTTTCTTTCCTTGAAAACCTATTTTCCCCGTATCAACCTATATTTTTAGACCAGACTGATTCCTGATGTGTTTGATGGTGAGTCTTCGTCTTCCTCCTGGATTTTCTGTCCCTGTTGCTCACCATGGAGGCACTGTCTTTGGCTTTGGTGGTCTGTATGTACTCGGACACAGCCAGGTAGATGAACTTGTACTGGGCCTCTGTCTGCACCATACCAGAGCGCTGCTCCCGCACCATCTGGATGTATTTAGGGATGTCAATATCACAGTCCAGGCCTACAGGGAGAAGAGAAGTGAGAGAGGAAAGCATTGGATGGAGACAGTATGACAAAGAGGAAAATAAACTATGTGTTTTAAATAACGTTTAATAACTTTAACAACTTTAAAACATTTTTTCTTTTACCCTGAGTGTCAATGGTCTCGATGATCATGTCAACCACCAAAATTGTGCCTGTCCGACCGATTCCAGCACTGCACAAATTCACAGAAGAAATTGAGTTAATATATTTTCCATCAAATCAAAACAAGATGCATTTAATCAAAAAAACTGAACATCATTAACCGCACCAACAGACATACAAGTCTACAGCTATGCTAGCAGCTCTGAGAGGCTATGCTAAATGCTAAATCCCAAATGGAAGCAAATCATTAGGGACACCAAATTCACATTTATCGATTCGCTGTTGAGAATAATGGCTGGCTACACTGAACAAGCTTAGGACCAGTTTTTCTTTGCAGAGACAGGCGATGGGATATGAGACGGACGATGCCATCATAGTAGTTGTTAAGGCAGGGGTTCCTGCCGCAAGGTAAATCGGAGGGGTGGTGAGATGATTGAAAAGATTAGATAGAGAGAGAAGATAAAAAGAGAAAAACAGTATGCAACCTGTAATAAGGAGTCATATTCATAGGTAAGTATTGCTTTGATTTAAAGACCCACATGTCAGAAATGTTATAAACCGCTGTGTGAAGCTAAAGTATGGGACATCGTATTACTGCCGTGCAGCTTTGTAGACAGACTTACAAACAAAAATACTTACACAAGGGTCACATAATCATTTAAGTTTTAAAAAAGCACAAACGGCCTCAGTATCCCACATGTCACACGGGGAAAATTCCAAAAGGATAAACTGTGAGTTGACTTTACATCTTTTGTTCGACTACTAATCTTAATCCTAAAAATATGATCATTTTAATCTTTAACCTATAAGTATTAACACTTATTATCAACTTAACATTATGAAACCTGAGCCTGGTAAAGTTGATATGTATCACACCATTACACAGTATGGATGGTCTTCCTGCACATCACATATTTAACATCTGAGGATTTATGACCTCACTGACACCTGGGGTGAACCATCATCTGGCAAACTCCCCACCTGGGAAAAAATTTAATTTTCTTTTACCTTTCTTTCTGACATTTGGTAAATTAAATGATTAATTGGTTATTTGAAAAAAAAATCTTAACTTAATCCATAAAAATAATGGTAAATTGAAGGAAGCAACAATTTTGCAATTAGTGCTCTAAGGAGTCACACACCTCCACAGTTTGAGTTTTGGGCCCCATGAAAACAACATCAACAACAGCTCTGACACAATAAATATCTGTGATCCCTGGCACGTTCGGCTCAGTTGTTACACTGGGTCTCCCACCCCCAGGGCTTTTTCTGTCCTGTCAGTACCTGCAGTGGATGATCATGGGCCCAGCATTGGGAAATTCAGCCTGTTTATTGTTGACTTGAGTGAGGAAGCTGAGGACGCCACCTGGCTCCTGAGGGACGCCATGGTCAGGCCAGCTGAGGTACTGGTAGTGCCATACTTGACGAGATTGTTTTGGCTGTCAAAGAGAAAAAAAAAATTAGGTGATAATATATATTGATGAAATGTGCTTTACATTCAGCTACATACACAGAGGAGAGTGAGGTCAGAGGTCAGTACCTTGGCTAGAAGAGCGATCTCCAAAACTCTGACTTTATAATCAGTAGCTTCTCTCTCCGACTCACAGGTCACCAGGTAGTGCCCCATCTCCTTGGAGGTATGAAGGTCCGGCCAGTATGGCACACATTTATTCTGAGCAAAAATAAAGAATGACTCAAATGAATTCTACCTTCATCTGAAAGGTCCACTTCATGCACAAGAAACTTCTGTTTGGCTTTTGTTTTTTAAATCATGGTTGTAACTGTTTATAATATCTTGAATATTTTTTTTAATATTGTAACATCACGCACTTAACTCTTATATTTATGGTACTTTGTGTGTTTTAATATGTTCTTATGTGTATGGTGATTTTATTATTGGTATGTTGCGCTGAAAGATGTCCTGTGTATCCTGCTATATGAGCTCACAAGAGCTAATTCCTCACACTATAATAATAAGTTAACGCAAATAAACTCAAATCAACTCAAATCAACTCAACAAAGTCTTGAAATATTTTTCAAAGTAAAGTCAATTGTAATTTATTTATATTATCATCATTTACAGTTGCATCCTCAAAGGGCCTAAAAGGGAAAAATGTAGCTAGAAACAAGAGCAACCTCAAGGGAACAGTAACGTTGTTCCCTAAATGAGTACGAGGTAAATTGCCAAAATGTTAATTACATTTAAAAAAACAGATTAAGCCTGTTTACTAGAAATGATGGGTGTATTTCAGGTCCTCGGGCAGGCTACACTAACACTGAAAAAGATGAGTTAACAACAAGTTTTCCACCTTTTTGCCATCTTCATCCTTGGAGCAGTTCATAGTAAGAGGCCAGTGTCAGAAGCCTCAGTGTATGTAAGTATTGGCTGTTGCAGTCAGGTCAGTAAAGTAGAGTGGGCCTGAAACATTTAGAGCTTTTCCAGTACACCTCATAATATAAATACGTAACCAAGGCCCCCTCTTATATTTCTATTAAAGTATGAACATTTCTTCCAGTTCAGCTGTGGCTGAACGACAGAAATAAGAGAAAGAAAGATGTACTTCTCTCATGGGAAATGTAATTTGAGTTGGTTAATAAAAATCTGATATTCTGACTTTTTGGGGGGATTTTAAGAGTTTCAAGTTTTCAAAAGGAAAAAAAACACACACTCAAAAGTCTAAATCAGCTTTCTTGATTGTTGCTTTGTTACTCACCCGCCCTTTCTCAACCTCTCTTGTTGTCATAACGATCACACTCGTGTTCTCCTGCCATACCATCTGCCAGAAGTCATTGACAGTTGTTGCTAAGCATCCCTGAGTGGCGATGTAAACTTTCTGATCTCCAGACTCCCACAGGGTGTTCTGCAAACACAGAATCAATACACAAACACGATCAACACAACAACCCTGATGACTAATAACACGGTGAATGATGAAGAGGTGAATATCTGATGGTTTTCCGATCCGTGTTTCATGTTGTGTTTTTGTCATTTTGTGTTGCCGCGACGCCAGAGACTTTGCAGACTTACTTTCACATAGTTGGCGTTGATGTAATCTGCCCCCACAACGTTAGGATCGGCATCCTTCAGGGTGACCCTGGTGTCATTGACTTGTGGGAGAAAATAAATGGACAGAGAGAGGACATGGTGAGTGTTTGGTTAAAGTTAGCTCTATGAGAATGTGGATTTATTTATTTTGACGATAATGATACAGAAAAGATGAAAAACTCACAGGGAAGAATGTTCTTGTATCTGTTCTTGCTCTTGTTTTCAGGTCTTTGTCCTTCCTCTCTGCTCTTTTTCACCTTTGCCTCCAACTTTTGCAGATTCTGGCGGGAAACAGAAACTATGTGATACCTGCTGTGTCCCAGTTCCATACCACATACTAATACTGTACAGTATGTCTGGTATTATTGTAACAGTGCAAAGTTTTCACTGTTAGAATAAAGACATTCAAATAGTTTTCTAAGTTTTATACTAACAAGAAATGATAGAATAAGTCAATCAATCTGTGATTTTATGGGTCAACTCCAAATAAAAATTCACAAAGAGAAACAAGATCTGACTGGAGCTGTGTCTCCACTGGAGGTGAGACAATTAGTCAATTAATCAATGAGTTGATCAACATAAAATTTAATGGCAACTTTTTGAATAAATGGATGAATTATTTAAGTAATTTTTTAAGCAAAAATGACAAAAAATTCTCCATTTCCAGTTTGTGACAATTTTCTTCACTTTTTGTTCATCTTTCGTTGCATTAACTGGATGTTTGAGCGTTTTACTGTTGGTCGGGCAAGACGAGCAATTTGAAGATGTAACATTGGCCTCTGGGAAATCTTGTGACCAAACGATTGGCAGATTAGTTGAGAAATCAATCATCACATTAATAAATACTGAATACTGAATACAGCCACCTGCAATTTATTTTAATAAAAGTTCGAACCTGCAGGAATCTTTTCCATTTCCTTTCACTCAATAATCAAGTTTTTCATTATCCATACACCACATACTCGAAGGCTCTTGTGACTTATTATGTAATATGACTTTGGGACACAGTTGATGTATTCCACCACCACAAGATGGTACTATATTACCTCCAATGTCTAGTTGGCCACAGTAAGGAAGTAAGTCTTGATATGTAAAACACTGATGGACATCGCAGTCAATCTGTAATAAAATGCCTGATGTATCATTTATTTCTGCCACATCAGGAAAGTCATGTGGTTCCTACAGCACAGATAAACAATCATGGTAAGAAAACAGTGACGGAAAAACGTAACTGAAGCCAGGTCAAATCTTACATCAAACTCCTCCCAGAAGCCCGCCTTGCTCTTCTCTCCCTCGCCCTCCAGCAGCTGCTGTGCAGTCTGATTCAGCTCCTTCACTCTGCTGTCGATATCTGCTGCATTCACTCTGGTGGAGTAATACAGCTGAGAGAAAGAGAGAGAGAGAGAGAGAGAGAGGGGAAAAATCATTATAGAGATGAACGAAAAGGACGAGGCAATGAACGTGCCATCGTCAGCCAGGTCACATTAAAACAAAAGCAAACATGTGAGTAATATTTCCTATCTGTGGGCTGTGCCGCTCGGCTTTTGAGATAAGTTTCTGTTCTTCACTTCAGCTCGCTGATGTTCACCTTCTTTGATTAATATATTCCATCTGAAATGTATTTCAGACTCCGCACATTCTGACCTGTTCAGTTGTGTGAGAAAACCCAGCCTACCTGTTTGAGATGCACCCAGTTCCCAGAGATCTCCTCGATGCCCTTGCGTTTGTAGTGGTCCACCAGGTCTGTCAGCGTGTCGAACATCTCTGAGCCCCCCACTGTATACCTGTCATTCTGGACACACGCAGACACATACAACATGCCAAACTGTTCTTCCAAAAGTTCATAAAGATGTGTTCAACATTTAAAAAGAAATCTAACACAACATCTGAAAAGAAATGACACGCTCATGTATAAAATAAAAACAAGGGGTTAGATCAGCTTTTGTAGTAGCACAACATTCAGAGTAATCTCTTTGTGACAGAACCTAGCAGCAAATTATTAAAGCACATGTACAAAGAAGGTATTTTTGTGACAGTTTTGATCAAATAAATGACAGTTTACTGACTACAAAAATGATTTCCTCTGTATAAAATGCGTGAACGTATACAGATGTAATCCCATGACTCTGAAGATTAGAGCTGAGCGCGTGCTCATAGAGAGGCCTTTGTGACCCTTCCAGTAATCTCGCATTAATCTTCTGCACCCCAGCGATGAACAAAAACAATGGGTCCCATTTAAATAAGGACTGAACGGTGTTTTCTATGAGGTCAACCACAGCTAAAAATAAAATGCAAAAGCCCTGATGGTGACTGATGACGGAACAACACAATCTATGAAAATGAGCTCTAGAGATGGCCGTGAGACCTGTTGGAGTTCTCTGAATATCTTTAGAAGCTGGTCACAGTCAGAATAGAGACTACACGTTGTGGTTTCACATTTCTTACACAGAAATCAAACTGCCCTTTGTACCTGTGAATAACTGTTGGTGAGCATCTGAAGAAATACTGTTCCTGACATTTATGACCAATAGCTTTGTTGAAATATGAGATCAGTCTTTTGTTACACAAGTCAGGGGAAATGACACTTTAAACCTATTTTAAAGTGCGCTGCACAACTTTGGGAATACCCCTCAGTAATTTCATGTGATGTGAATCTGTTACAGGGACTGATTCTGTAGATGACCAAAAACAACCTGTAGTTTCATGCACACATTATCTTGTGTGGCACACACACTGACGGTCACACTTACACACACCCACCTGGCACATTATCTTAATGTGGGAGACACGCTTTCCTCCCGTTCTGCCCTTCTCGTCCGTCTGAACAGACAGGACAAAGTCTCCAGGTTTGGACAGCGACTCTCTGACCAGGAAGGTCCCCGGCTCGTCTCGTGCACTGAGGAGCTTCTCTGCATTCGGCCCGGAGAGGTGACCATGGTACCACCTGTGTCAGAAGAAAACACTGATAGTTCATGATGCAGCCTCTGTGACACATTTTTCAATATTTTTTTTTTTTATGCCTTTTTTTATTGATAGCACAGTAGAGGGAGGCAGGAAATGGGGAGGCAGAGAGAGGGGGAATGACATGCAGTAGAGGGCCGTCCGGGATTCAAACCGGGGCCGACTGCAGCGAGGACTGTAGCCTCTACATATGGGGCGCCTGCTCAACCCACTGCGCCACTCGACGCCCCCACATTTTTAAAGATATTCATGTGCTGAGCTAAATTTTGGATGTGACCTGCAAAAAGACGAATAACTAAAAAAAATTTTTAAAAAAAGATCCTCGGTCTCGTGCAGATGTTCAACTGTTAAATGTAAAAAAAACAAAACAATCACACAGCAAATCATCCTTCATCTTCTCCTTTTTTCACTGCCACCTACTTACTGTATGTGCGCAAACACCGTTAGGGCTGTGACTGCAGTCTGTTCAATGCTAAGCAGTTGTCAGACACACACTGATGTGGTACACTGGACTGTTGTGCACATAACTGAGTGATCACGAATAGAAAACCACAGCAGAATCATTAAGGTGGACAGTTAAAAACAGTATGTACAGATGTTGCTGTTACATGCAGGCCATATTTATGTCCACCACTGTACTCTCTGCGTGTTTGTGGACTGTGTGTGTGAATGAGGGAGTGCACACTAGGTTGGGTTGGGTTGTGACTTAATTTTAGGCACAGTTCTCGATTTCTTCTTCTAAACTTCCTGCTTTGCGGTCGGAAAATTTCTGATGACAGATTTCGTGGCTGAAGAGGACAAAGTATTTATAGCTTTGCCCCCCCCCTTTCGATAAGTAACATCTACAGACCCCCCCCACCACCACCACCACACACACTGAGTCTGCTCTCCTTATGCTTTTTGCACTTGCTTTATATCATTCAGTTCTTTGATTTACTTACTTGTCAAATCACAGTTTACGCTGTAATTAGACACCACCTGAAAGTTTTTATTTACAGTAGGTTGCATGAAGCACCTGCAGCAAAAAAAAAAAAGTTTCCCCAATTTTGCAGAAGCTAAACAACAGTCTGTGCAGGGGAGTAACTCATGGACGACTGCACCATAAGTGGACATGTTAAAGACAACAATTTAGCCATGCACATGTGGTTAGATTGTTGTTTTATTGCCGGTTATGGGTGGAACAAACCTTGCTGCAATAATGTCAGCAACCCTGATTGATCACATGTGATAATGCCAACAAGCTGATGGCTTCAGACCATATTTATTCCTCTTTTCTGAGAAGAGATGATCTGCCAGATACACGTGAACGGGCACAAAGAAAACTGCACCACACGGTGACCTGTCGAGGTGCGTGCAATCGTACTTTGCCGAGTTGAGAGAGAGAGAGAGAGACTGGGCGATATGAGGAAGACGGTGAGTGAGCAAGAACATGATGGAGTGTGCAATAGAGGAAGACAAGTCAGGTCTGGCCATTGCTTTCAAAAGTGTCAAAACTTAAAGTTTCCAACCGCAGCAACAAAAGGGAAGTTAGACAACTGACAGAGAGAGAAGGACGAGAGGTGGGGAGGAGGGGGGAGGGCAGAGGGTAGAGGTTCCAGCCTGGGTGAAGTGCACAGTATCTCACACACACACACGCACACACACACACACAGACACACACAGACACACACAGACACACACAGACACACACAGACACACACACACACTTGCAGACACACACACACATACACACACACAGACAGACACACACAGACAGACACACACAGACACACACAGACACACACAGACAGACACACACACACACACACACACACACACTTGCAGACACACACACACACTTGCAGACACATACGATAGAAAGTAGTGTCCTCCTTGACTCATAAAAGGAGTGGAAATGCATGAGTTTATCACTACTAGTTGGACATTAACCCACTTTACTCTGCCTACGGCTGCACAATGTTTCCAGCTGGGAGAAAAACGCCACCTCCATCAGCAATGTCATGGAATTCAAATGCACAGTGTGGGCAGATTTGAATAAAAACAATAATATTAGTTCCTACTTTTGAACTTACATTTGACAAACAAGCAAATAGATGAGGGTTTTTATCTGATTTACAGGAGGGCTCAGACACAGAGACAAAGACGTTAGAAAATAGCTACAAAATTATCTTGTTACTATATTTAGTAGACACAGATGCAAATGGCAGCTATTATCAGTAAAAATAAAAAAAAACTGTGAGTAGGGTGAAGCAGAAATACCACAAACAGATTACGCCCCATGTCAAGTAAAAACCCTGTGTTTGAAAGGAAGCTTTTAAATAAAATGTGAAAAAATCTTAATTAAAACTATTGTGCAGAGAGTTGTATTCCTATTTAACATGCCCCCTGTTGATTCAAATGTTGAGTTAAAAACCTTTTATATTTTCTTCCAAACAACTATATTCTTTATGAGTTCATATAAGGTTAAATATAAAATCTTAGCTGCTAGTAACTACAGCCGACATGTTGTTGCTGGGGGAAAAAGCGACTCATGTATGATGATAGTAGCAGGTACTTGTCTTCATTTAATGTGGGGATTCTCTTTTGTCTCTCCTTTTTGCAAACAAGTGATCAAAAATATTAGAGGCCACAGCCAGAATCACCTCGACCACAGAGGGGATATCAAGAATTGAGACAAAGCTTGATTTTGCTGACCGGTTGAGATTAATGCCGGACGTTTCCTCCGTTGAATCTCAAAGACTAATAATTATCAAGGGGATTTCTGAGACATTTTGTCTCATTTTAAAATTCATATAAAGAAAGAAATGGAACGTAAATATTCAATCAATTTTTTTTTTACTGCATGTGCTGCCGCATTTTTGTTATATTCATGTTGTTGCTTGGTCTGATCTCATCAGTAGCTAGTTTTATGTGTAAAGGTTTGTTTGTTTTGTCTTGTGCTGCATTGCTGTCGTTATGTGGTGAGAAAGTTACAGTCCAGCTCCACTGAAAAATGCAGTTTGCTTTTTTTACTTGGATGTTAAACCTTCACTGTGAAGAGTTTGACACCAGAGGGATGTTCACCTGCCGAAGGGGGACAGTTTCTCTGTGCTCACCTTAGATCGGAGAGTATCTATGAGCAAGATTTTTTGACATGACAACTAGTTTGGAAGGCGGCCATTGATAAAATAAGATCATATAACATTTTATTGAGCTCCAGGGGCAAATGAGGCATTAGAGCAGTTCAGGAAGAAGGAGGCTGCATACATTTGTCAACAACAATAACTCCTCCTGACATCATCCATAACTGGATGTTGATGTATAAACAGCTAATGAATAAAAATAAAGTAAAACACAGGTGTAATTATATAAAATATCTTCATAGGAGAAATCATAACTCTTGATGAATATTGTCCATTAATTAACACAAAAACTCCTTACAGCTGCTTCCAACGACATCATAGTGGGTTATGAACCATTTATGAAATGTCTGCATCCTGCTTATGAATGCTAAAGAGAGAGGACTTTAAGTAAAAAGTTAAATATGCAAGAAACACTGACACTGCTCTCATTAAATCCACGAGGCAGATGTAGGAATGAAGCTTCGACAGCTGTGGGTTATTAGCGTCTGCACTGTGGGTGTTTATTTTCACTGACTCACATTTTGACAAAGAAATGCTACTACACCTAAATTATTTACAAGTGTCTGCAGATGAAAAGCCTTTCCCCCATAGGAAAAGATTTAAAACACATGGAATAGCAAACCTACAAGTGACACTTATAAGCCCCAGGAAATAAACAGCAGTTAGAAGAAATACGGCTCATCACAGTTGACTATAGTTGACTTGACCACTTAACCAAATACTAGTACACTGAAAGTGTAGGTGGAGGCAGCTCAGAGAAGCCAGCGGGTGTGGGCCACAATAACCTATGCGGAGATTAAATAGTAAGCATGGAGGTAACAAGTAAGAGTGCACAGACCTCTCTGTGGTGGGGTCGGAGCAGTTCAGGGGGTATTTGAGCTCGATAACGGTGCCGTCTCTGTCCTGTAGGATGCCATTCTCCGCTGTGTAGTACTCCACCAGCTCTGACAGGGTGGCAAACTTCTCCCCGCCATACAGGTCGTAGAAGTCTCCTGTATTTTGGATGCGGATGTGGGTCACCAGCTCGCCCACCCTGAGGTGAAAAAAAACAACAAAATAACAGTCAGGCCACATCAACTAACCGTCAAAGTTTTCCTTGACAAAAAAATAACGCCCTGATGACAGTAAAGAGAACACAACTATCAGGGGGTGGTTGAAGGGGTTTTTAGGTATAATGGTTTAAATGCACATTAATAGCTCTTCAACCTTTATAAGCTTCAAAACAAAACAAAAATAACATGAAAACATTTCAGTGTTCGACCCGCAAATCAGATCCTTGCAGAGCTATTTTTGATATCCACAGATTCTGCAGCTGAACCCTGCAGTGTATGTTCTATATATAGTAGCTGTGTTTGTCTATGACACATGCATGTGAATTTTCATTACCTGTAGTCAGTGTTTTCTATCATGCGAAGACTGCAGTCAGGTTTTTCCTCTCACTATTTAGAGCCACACATCAACAAGATTTATTGTGTGTAGCTTTTAGGGAAACCTTGATTTAGATATAACTCATTAGCATCATCATCATTACATTTCTTTAATCTTAGCAGAACCATAATCTCTGACTCTTTTCTTGGTTTTGAGACGTCAGTCAGTCACAAAGCTAACACATCCCAGTCATGCAGTTTGAAAGCTCCACCTCATGTGTACTGTTGGTCTCTGGGATGCAAGAAGCAACTCGTGTGAACGCGGGAAAACTACTCAATAAGAAAATCAAAGTGTGAAAGGCTGCTATTTATTTTTTTGTGGGGGCTATTATTTATTCAGGACAAATAGGGTGTAAATCACGCACATCCACAGGCACTTTCACAGGTGCTGGATTAATTTAAACTAAGGGCAAAAGTAAGAAAAAGGATCTGCACACAGTGCTGATCTCTAACATGGATCTTCGTCGGGCACTGGCAAATCCATTTTTGAGATCAGTAACTTACTGATGAACTCACACGTTCACGCATTCAGTATTACCAGTTTGACCTACAGGCTGTCGGCCTTTAAGTCCTGCTCATGAGAAAAGAAACGCTACCACAGCAAAAGCATTCCACTGCACATCTGCATAAATATAACCCAAATATCACCGTGAAGCCCTCGCTCAAACTGCCCGCTCCTCAGTTTAACACAGTCACATAAAGTACATTTACAAATTTCAACTTCTGCCTCTTTGAACTGCAGTACTGTGTGTAACTTGATCTTACAATCCGAGGCACTATGAAGAAGCTTTGCATCAATTGAATCTCATGCACAAACATGAAAACATGTTATCAGTCAACTTTAATGTTGAGGTTTTAAGGATTCAGGATGTTGACTCAATATCATATGACATTTAATTTATCACATATATCTGAGTTATTTTTAGTAGCGATCAGCATTCACGTGATTATCATTTTATTTCTAGCATTATATGTATCTATATATATCTATATATATATAGATATATATAACTGTTTTTGAATTGTTTTTGAAAACGAGATGCATATATATATATATCTATATATAGATATATATAGATATATATATATAGATATATATATATGTATGTATTTCCCATCTGCAGAGAATATTTCTATGTTCAGCGCATCTCGTTTTCAAAAACAGTTTTGAAAGTCCAGTGTTTTCATTAGGGTTTGCCGAGCTGAACCTTCCCTCTGCTGTGACAGTCTATTAGGTATTCATATCAACACCTTTTATTAATTTATTTTCCATTTATGTTCCGCTTTAGGGTTTGGTGAGTTGAAGAGCCTCGTGGAGCGGCTTTCAATATACGTTTAAAAGAATGGAAAGTAAGATTTATTCTCAGTTGCGGAATTAGTAAAGTGAAAAAAGGGATTTGTTGTGTTTTTGCTTTTGCATTATTACCTGACAGACAGGGAGAAATCTCCTACGTTCTTCTTACTGGGTCGAGCCAAAAAGCTGCCATGAATGCCTCGAGACTTTAGCATTTCTTCGGCCTGCAAGCCTGTGATGTCTCTGTGGAACCATCTGCATTCACACACACACAGACACACACACACACACATATGCACAGTGAAAATACATTCAGTATGAACAGAACTGCACTTCTGACCATCAGCCTTGAATAAGATAAATCTGAACACGTGCGCCTAACGTCCACACCTAATGTTATTTCCTCACAACATTCAGCTGGTATTATAAGTATACTGGTGTTTTATAGACAAAATACAAAATAACTGTACACAACTGTAGTTTCTTCCATTCAGCTGAAAAAATCTCCGGTGTAGCTTCACTGCAGGAGACGCAGATTTCACCACAGTCTAGTTCTGACATTAGTCGTCCGTCGCTTAACAGAAAATCACTTTTTCCTTTTCTCATTTTTTTTTTATCATCTCACTTTTTCATTTGATTGAGAAAACCTTCACATTTTAAGGCATTACTTTGACATCTTGTAACTTGTGAACATTGTCAACATTTTTGACATTTAATGTTGAAAAAATAATTGATTAATCAATAGTATAATTGATACTGAAACAAAATGTTAGTTGCATTCCTGGTCTAGTCCACATGGTCATTATTCTTCAAAATAGACATACAGAGCCATCATTTATTACGTACCAATTATAAAATCCCTGTACTGTACATCGACACAACTATAACCTAAAAAACGTGAAGCTCTGGCTTTGAGCAACATTTTGAGGCTGAGTTACTCAGTTTAACACAATTGCATCAGTACAGACGAAATATCTCATATTTTATCATTTCCTGGAGCTTGGCTCACAGCCTCTGAACTAACTCATAATCATAACGAACAGTTTTTTTTTCTGTTTTCTGTTTTTGAAGGAGCCACTATTAAATAAAAAATATCAGCCAAATGTCTAATGATCTGTTGGCTATTTCTCATAGTGATAGCTTTCCTGCAACTTTCAAATTCAGCTGTTAAAATAATCTTTGTCAATTATTCGATGTGTAGTCAATGACAAAGACGCTTTGAATTATATTGCATTGAAGAAGGTTTCCTCATTAATGCAATGTTACGATGTGTAATATAAAACTCTAAATGTCATGGAATACAAATTTTAAGCATGGTGCGCTCTGCACATGCACTAGTGCACTAGTTTTGACAATTAGGTTGAGATTGTACTTGAATGTGTTTCCCCTTTAAATTTGCCACAAGAGAAGCTTTTATACAAGAAATGGACTGAGAAAGATTATTTGAAAGGAATAATCACAAAGAAGCATCAGCTCAAGACAAAAGGAACCTTGTACAGAACCTTTAAAGAACTAAAGAAGAAGGAACGAGGTTTCTTACTCAACTGCTCAACTTAAACATCATTTATGACACGTTTTCTTTACGCAAAACAGACACTGAACTGCACACAACACATCACAAATCACATGATAGAGGAACAGGGCAGGTCGGGTCGACAGCTGGGGAGAGAAGAGAGAGAGAAGGAGGAATGGAAACAGAGAAGTCATCACGCCTTGCACAAAACACAAGAGAACACAAGCAGAGTTGGCTAACAGAGCATTATAGTGTCCAAACGGGGGCCTGACTCACCGAACCATGTTGTCTCTTCTCTTCTTCTGGGACCAAAGAGAAGGAGAGTGTCACTCAACATGTGCAGACTGGACTCAAAAGCATAAGTAGAATATATTCTATCTCTAATCTTACAAAGAAACAGTCTGCACCTCATTACTTCCTCAGTGTATAGAAGTATACTCGCTTAAATAGAAGTAAGTCACTTTCATTCTCATATGTTTGCTCTCTCACACACTTACTCAACTTCTGACACTGACATCCTTCCATCTCACATGAAAACGATCAACTCCATCTCCCCGTCTCACACCACATTCACTCAACAAACCTCAAACTACCCGCTCTCTCCTCCTCTTTTCCCTCCACGCTTCCCTCCACCCAATCCTCTTCCTATCCAACCCCTCTCCGTCCCAATAGGAAAGTAGGTAAACAACTTACTCTTACCCAGCTGCCTCTGAACACAACTGACACCTCGCTGAGACGCTCAGACTGTGTACGTCTCTCTCCCCTCCTCTTTCGTCGTTTTCTCTCTCGCTCGCCCCTTCCTTCCTTTTTACGTCCCCTTTCACAAAATAGTGAAAGCAACAAGGAACCAAAAAAAAAAAAAAGCTGACAAGCCGGAATTCCTCCAACAGATACAGACCTCTTTTTTTTCCCTTCTCCTTTTTTTTTTTTTTTTTTTTTTTTTTTAAAGACAACCACAAGAAACACTCATCATTTTTAGGAGCAGAGTAGGTTTAAAATCTGGCAACCTGCTCTCTGATGCTGCCATTTAGTCTTCTATGCAGATCTCGACACAAAAGAGCAGCAGTAAAGGTTCAAATGGTTCCATGTAGAAGTGAATCATGAGCGAGAGTGCCTGTCCAGTTATTCCACCTTGCTTACAGGAATAGAAAAATCCCCACAATGCAGAGTTGAGCTTCTCGTGCCTTTACAAACAAGCCTACACTTTGACTCTCAGTCTGCTATTTGCAAAGCTTTTCCCCTTTGCCTGCCCACCTGCCTGCTACTACTGTTGTCTGTTTGTTCTCTACTTCCAGGTGTGTATGAGCGTGTGTGTGTGTGTGTATGCAACACACAAAGGTCAGAGTCACGGAACACTTCCTTATTTGCAGTTCAGCCTTCCCACCTCTATATATATGTGTGTGTGTGCATGTGTGTGTGTGTTTGTGTGAGTGTACGTGTTTGAATTGCTTTCAGCCGGTAAACCATTTGCAACTGTGCAACTCTGTTATTATCAGACCACCGAGGCAATAACCCAGATATCAAAAGACACATGCAAGAGGCTTGAAAGAGATACTAGTTTCCACACAATGCGCACAAATCCACACACACCCACGCTATAAGGAAGGCTGGGCTGCAATGCAAACACAACATGTTCAATAAATGTCATAAACACATGAACAAACATTTTACAACCTGTGAAACAAACACAGGCAATCCACATTTCACTTGCAAATCCTATTCACCCACAACAGGTTTATATTTGAATTCACATGAAATACGTCGCCTCTTTTCCCAAGCCACACATATCTTCCTCATGAGACTGTGAACTTCAGACTGCTGTTTTTAGTGTTGGTGTAAACGTGCAAGGGTAGAACAAAAGCTTGTAAAGCTAACACTGACAGAGGTTGAAAAAAAGCTAAAAGCGGTAAAACTTATAGTTAGATATAGTGCACTGTTGCCCCTCCCCGCCTTCTACACACACACACACACACACACACACACACACACACACACACACACACACGACTGCACACGTACACACAGAGCACTGCAGGTGTCATTCACCGTGGTTAACGCCAGCTATTGCAGTCTGCTTTACTCTCCTCACAGCCTCTTATGTTTAACAGTTGAGGCTGGTTCAGCTTCCCTTCCCTTCTGACACACCAGAACTTCATCTGTCAGGCTGCAGGACAAATGCAGCAATGTGGCAAACGACACTCACACATGCATCACAGTTTGTTTGTTTTTTTTTGTTTCTGTTTTTTTTAGAAAGGAATTAACAGGAAATTCCTTTCTGTCTAAATATATAAAATATAATAACATTAATAATAACATTAATAGAGGTGAAACAACTAGTCAGTTAATCCTCACATGATTCCTGCTTCTTGAATGTTAGGAGTTTGCTCTTTTCTATAGTTTAGTGAGGTCGATAATATATCGACATGCAACATGAGAGAATTTGAATTTGTCTATCATCAGATATTTCATACCGATTCTACCCAGGAAACCATCCCTTCAATATTTCTAGGCGTAGAAAGCCATTGCGGGCAATGCAGATGATATATAATGATAATATATACTGAGACATAGAATTTTATCCACATCATCCTCTCCTAGACTTTACTTTATGATAGAAAATGTTTATATTTAATATTTAATCTGCATCGAGTTTAATCAGAACTGACAGACTGGCAGAGAATAATAGATTACATGAGATAAGTATTTTGTAGAAATTATGGAAAATAGTGGAAATGTTCATAAAATGCTCCAGTGTTAATAAATGCTTTTTAGGCCTTTTTAAATCCACACCTGGAGCTGTATCGCCATTACTTATTCCTCAGCCCATGCAACAAAACTTTCTACCAAGTTTCATTCAAACCTGATTATGTTCATAAGAATAACTCGCATAGAAAAAAATGTGGTGTGAAGGGAGAGATAAACGACAGACAGAGGAAACACACACAAAAAAAAGAAAAGTAACAGAGAACATACACAGTAACATTGGAAAGAAGTGGCACAGAACACATCAAACAAGGACAAATACATTTACAAAGAGTGGAGACGAGTAAGAAAAAAATGCAATATGCAAAATGTCACAGGAAGTTATTTTAACCTTATCATACACACTTAAATATAAGATACTCACCCACAAGACATGATTTGGGCTCCTCCTCTCAGCACACAGGATCACTCGTGGTTTGGTCTGCACAAAGTAATAATGGGTAGAATCTAGTCTCCCCTTTTGTGCTGCTGTCTATGATGATGTTGAGTGCTTCTCCACCTCCAAGCAAAATACAACTCACACAAAGAGTCAGGTTACATCAACAGCAGCTCATGCACTTCTGGCTCCAGGTTAGCTCCCCCTTGTTCTTACTTTCTGCATTCACTTGCACCCAGCCCGGCTTGTGTTTAGCTTTCAACTCTCTAACATGATAAGCTATCAAGCTCCATTACTAGCACAGCCAGTCCTACCGCCCTGTAATTTACTCTAATTTTCTTAATTATCCAACTATCTATGGGAGAAAATCTGCTTGTTCCCGTCCCCTTCTTCCCCTGCTCTTCCTCTCGCAACCCCTTCTATACACAGAGGCTCTCCTAATTTTCAGTCTCTCCTGCAAACCACCATTTGCTCTCATGTAAATTCCACCTCATCTTTCAAAGCTTGTATGCAAAGTCCATCATGCATCACAAAGTCAAGTTACACTTTCAAAAAAATGATATCAGCACTCACAAAGTTACTTCTTACATAACGAAGGGTGAAAAGGAAAAGTAAATAAGTGAAAATAAAACAAACGTGGGGGTCACTGGTGGTTTAATGGGTGTAAAAATCACAGTGTGAATCATATGCTATGGCCTTCTCAACCACCGGATCCCAACCCAGTTGAGCAACTATGGGAGATTTGTGACCACTGTTTTATGCAGTGCTGTCCAATATCTTTTGGAAAAGTGGTGTTCATCCGTCCAGAGGAGTTCAAGAGACTTGAAGAGTCTCTGCCAAGGGGCACTGAAGCTGAACTGGCAGTAATCACTTATCTGTTTTTTCTGTTAATTTGTTACTTAACTGTCTTTTCTTAGACACAAGTCTCCAGCCTTGCCAGCGGCTCTGTGAATTTGTACTTTGGAACAGCAGTTCTTTGAAGTAAGTCCTAAGATAACTATCTCACAGTGACAATGCAAACATGATGGTTAGCACGCATAATGTTTACTGTGTTCACCATCTTAGTTTTTGCAAATTTGCAAATTACACCTTCAAATGAATTACAGCTCAGAATGTTGTTTGACATGATGGCACTGGATAAAAAGTCAGAGAATCACCAAAATAATTACAATTTTTCCTGCAGGGGACAAATTTCATGACAATTCATCAATTTAACACATTTTACTAAAGAAAAAAAGTGAATCTCACAGCAGTGAAAAGTCAGGGGATCACAATGATCGGTAGGATTTATACCCAAATGACAATGAATGTCTCATTTCACTGCAATCCATCACCTGGTAGTTGTAGTTGTTGTTGAAGACCAGCTGATATTGCCATCTCTAAAGCCGCATGGAGAGCAAGGCTAAAAATAGATGACTCCGGTACTTTCCTTTAGAAAAAAGAAACACATTCATACATAGTTCCCTTTAAATAAAATGAACAAACCTTGAAAAACGGTCGACTTTTTATTGTAGTCCATAAAAACAAATAGCAATGATAAAAACAACAAGGTGGTAACAATAATAATAATATTCAATAATGTAAAACAACATAACAATAGACAGAAAGAAATTAAATTAACTTAAGATTGCCATCATTCTCTAAACCATCCCATGTACCTAAAAGCCATTGCATGTCCATATTTTGGGACAAACACAGAAAAATTTCCAGGGAGCAATTCTGTGGTGCAGTTAGGAATGTCGAGGTGCTGGTTGGGGTGTGAGCACAGAGAGCTGATCCTGAATCGGGTGTGACCTGATGGGGCAGGTGGAGGTTTGGGATGGAGGGTGAAGATGCAGGAAGAGGTAACAGGTCTGACTGACTGATAGAAAAGTGAGTAACAGTCTCTCAGTGTGGGGGCATTCTGCAGTAGAGATGCACATTAATATGCCCTGTTTATAGATACATACATCCTAGAAGCACGTGCGCACACACACACACACACACACACACACACACACATCCATACTCTCTCCACACACATACAGGTGAGGACATTAGAGTTGAAAAAAATGTTAAAATTTCACAACTTTCTAAAGGTGAAAATGAGCACAATAAAATCCCTTGATTTCTTTATTAAATCCAAAAGTTACTACAAAGCACCAGTATACTCCAAACATGCTGCTTTCTCTCCTGTCTATCGTTGTCAGCTTCATGATACACATAGTTACATACACATGTTTGACCCTGCTGTAAAGACAGAACAGGACAGGTCAGTGGAGCTGCCCGCAGTACAGTCACGACGACAGTGCTCAGGTTAGAGGAGTTAAATCTGAATCCCAGTGGAGGAGAACGACTTGTTTCTAGTCTGCCACAGAAAAAGAACTGATTCTTTCATTCACTCCCATCCTACATCTACAGTTCCAGTCTTTCCAAATCAAAGTCCAGCAGCACAGCTGAAGTTCTTCTGAGTCCGGAGATGGGTTGTGGGTGCAGAGCGAGGAGGACTAACCTGACTGTGCTGTACATGGTGGTTGAAGGGGGAGGACGTCTGCTACATGGCGGTGAGGTGAGGGTGACTGGCCTCAGTCAGTGAGCGTGAAATGTGCGAGGTGATTGGTCAGCGCGGAACCTGCATCTGCTGTGAGGTCTGTGACTGGTTCTGAGCGGTGACGTCGGGGCCCCGGCTGGCCAATCGGCTGAGGATGTTCCTCTCGGACATTTGAAGGCGCA